CCCTGTGCAGGTCCTCTCTGGATGCGCTCCCTCTCGGGAGCCTCTGCTTGGCGGGCGCAGCGTGTCCCACGGCCCATCGGCCTCTGGAGCCCAGCGCCATCAGTCGTGCTCTGCGGAGGAGCCTGCCCCTTGGCGCTGCACGCACGGTGCCCTTGTGGAGGCGCAGGGCAGCAGCTCCTCCGGCACGCCCTTCCCCGTGCCCCGTGCTGCTCCCCCTCCCCTCCGCCGGCTCCCCAGGCCTGCCAGACTGCCCGTCCCCATTTGGGCACGAAGTGTCTGGGCAGGAATCCTGACTGCCCCCAGGCACACCTGGCACTGCAGGCCTGGCTGGGGTTGTAATATATTTGCCGCCTTCATTTCGTGCTGTTAATGCATATGCAGTTCTGCACGGCAAGGGCGGGAAGCAAACTTTCCTGGAATATCCTTCTGGACTCTCTCAGCCTGCCGTCCTCCCGCTCTCGCCCTGCTCACCCTGCCCCATCTTTCCAGGGGTGCCCACAAAGCCAACTTGCTCCTCACGAGAATGAGCATTCCCGGCGAAGAGCAGGCGCCCCGCACGTGCACTCCTCTAGCCACCCAGCCTCCCTCCGGCATCCCAGCCCTGAGGTTCAGGCCCCCCCCACACCTCTGGGATGCAGCCGACGTGCCGGGGGCTACGCAGTGGCCCGAGGGGGATGGCCCCTAAAGGGACGTGCCGCGCTCGCAACCTGCCCTCTCGAGCGAGCGAGCGAGCGCGAGCGACCCTGCCAGCCCAGGGGAAGGGTGAGTCAGCAGTGCTTCCCAGCAGGGGCCGGGCCTCCCCCTTCAGGGCGCTGCATGAGAAAGGCTCTGGCGTCCCCACTGCCTGTGAGCAGACTGGCGGAGCTTGCATGGGGGCCTCCGGGCTCCTTGCCGAGGCTATCTCTGTGCTGTGCCCCCCGCCCGCTTGCTCGGCAGGCTCCACATGGCCCCTTTGGCACTCATGGGAAGGTGAGCGGGCGCAGATCCAGGGCGCCTCACCCCCAGGCCTGTGGGTCCTGCGGCTGCCTCTCGGATCCAGCTGGTGTCGCGCTCCAGCGCCGAGGAGTGGGCCGGGGCCCCCGCAGCCCTGTCCTCACCGGGGGCCAGTGCTCCGCAGGGGCAGCCGCTCCTTTAGCAGGCCCCTCAGCCGCAGGAGGGTGCCACGGCGGCCCACAGCAGGCATCATCTCCTTGCATGGCGCGTGGGTCCGTCCCCGCCAGAGAGCAGGAGGGCGTGCTGCCAGAGGCCTCTTCCAGGCTCCTCCGTGGAGCCGTTCAGGGGCAGGGGTTGGGCACCACAGGAGCCCCCCCCCCCACGGCGTCCTCAGCTGGCCTCCAGGCCCTGCACACGGCCCCTCCCGGGCTGCGGGGCGGCCTGGCCACTCCGGCCTCGGCTGGCTGGCCAGCTGGCTGCTGCGGAGGCTGCTGCCAGTCCCCGGGGCCTCACCCCCTGACCCAGCCCCGTGCAGGGCAGCCGCTCCTTGGCTGACCCCGGACTGGCCGCCCGGCCGCTGGAAAACAGCACTTCCTGAAACGGCCCATCTGGCTGTTCCGTCGCCGCTTTTAGCCGCTCGGCAGCCCTGCCAGGGCTGGGAGGGGCAGCTGCGCGTGTGTGGGATCACCGACCGCAGTGGCGCCAGGGCCCCCGCCATGCCCGGCCTGACCCGGAGCCAGCTGCGGCGCTGCGGCTTCGGCACATCTGGGCCTCCTGCTGTGTGGGGCCGTGTGGGTCGGGCTGGGTGAGGCTGCAGTGGGGGGGCCATGCCCGGGAAGGGCTGCTTGGCTCGGCTCACGGACGTCCCCTGCTCCTGTGGGAAGGCGGACGCCTGTGACCAAGGCCGGGGTTGTGGGGGCATGCCAGTCTGAATGCGGGGAAGCTCTCCCTGCTCCCGCTCCTGGCTCTGGGTAGGGCAGGGCCCCTTAGGGCTGGATGCCTTCCATCGCAAGCATCACTACGGCCAGCTGAGTCCTGCAGCGGGGGGGGGGGGGGGCTGGGTTCCAGTTCCTGCCCAGCTGAGCAGCCCCCAGCCTGTGCCAACACAACCTCCGTGGCAGGCTTGCTGCGGGACGAAAGGGTCCCCGTGCTCCACACAGGACTCTCCGCACCTCACAAGTCCAGAAGCGAAGGAAGCAGGTGGGGTGTGGGGGGCTGCCTGTCGGAGGGGATTGCGGAAGCAGCTGCAGCCAGATGGGCCCCTCTCCATGGCCAGGGTCTGGTGGAGGCCATCCACGGAGGGGCTCTCCTGCCCACAGTTTGCCCCCCAACCTGAGGCATGCCTGTGGGCGGCGTCTGGTTGATGCCCCCCCCCCGTTGGAGATGCTCGTGCACTATTTTGGGAAGCCCTCTGCAACACCCCACCCCGGACCACACTCCCCGCACCCCAGCTCTTCCCCCCACCCCTTCCATGGGGTGGTTCTCCGGTTGGCCGGCCAGTTGCAGGACCACGAGGGCTTCCTCTCATTAGTGCTGTGGGGAGGCGCGACGGGTGGGGGGGGTCTTCTCGGCATGAGTCTGGCCCTCCCTGTTTGGAGCGACCCGGCTGCTGGCTGAGGGCTGGAGCGGCCCTGTGGCAAGCTGGCGGGGGGGGGGCGCTCCGGCTGGCCGAGGCTCCCAAGGGCCACAGCGCAGCTGATAGCAGCCATCCTGTTGCAGGTGTGCGCCATCTGTGCGGCCACACAGGGCCCCAGTTCAGTGCTGCACTGTTGATTTACACCAGAACATCACACCCACCCAAACTGCCTTTGTCCCTGCAGTCCCTGCCTGGAGCAAACGCTTCTTGGCCAACTGGCAGTGGGGGAACATTTTCTCGGCCCCCGTTTTGCCCTCTGGCATGGTAGCGGCGCGCCCTGCAAAATCCGCAGGGCGGCATCACACAGCTTTCTGAGGGGAGTGGGTGCTCGGAGGCAGCCTGTGCCCCTCCCCTCGGCCGGAGGCAAGAGAGCAAGAGAGAGCACACGCACACACGCGTGTGTACATGGGTGCCCATGTAAATGTGTCCTGCAGCTCTGCAGCCTCACAGTGCAAGCATCACAGCGGGGACGGGACTCAGGGCTTCCCACAAAGCTGTGCGCTCGTGGTGTGCAGGGATAGGCTCCTGCCTGGCCTCCATGCGCAGTGGCTGGGGGGGGGGGGGAGCGGCAGCAGCGGTGCTCACACTGTGAATTGCAGTATGGCTTGTGTGCCCCCACCCTTTCCTGCCAGAAACCCAAAATAGCTGGCAGCTTCTCCTTCTCCCCCCACGATCTCCCCACAGCCCTGTGAGGCAGGGTGGGCTCAGAGGCAGACCTCCCATGGACCAAAGAGTTACATGCCTGTGGCCCCGCACCCCAGACCAGCAAGCGGGGGGGGGGCTTTCCACAGCCTTCTCTTCCTCTGGCCCCTGTACCCCCTTCTGCCCTCTGCCCCCCCTGCCCTCCTTCCCATAGGAATGAGCATGCAACTGCCCTTGAACAAGCAGGCGGGCAGACGCCATGCATTTTGCAGGAATCATGTGAACCTATTTGTCTTTGCATGCAGGACAGAGTATTACTTAATTCATGAATCACAGAATGACAGTAGTGTTGGAAGGGGCCCACAGGCCATCGGGCCCAAGCCCCTGCTGTTCCAGGGCACCAAGTCCCACCGTCCCACTCAGAGGACTGTGCAGACACACCAGTGGAGGCAGAGAGAACGCGGTGTTCACCGCAGCCCCTCCCCGAGTCCGGAGGGCCACTGTTTCCCTTTGGCCACTGCCTCTACAGAGCCCAGCGGGGTGCGCAAGAGAGGCCACGGAGCGTGGCCTGACTGGAAAGGCAGATACTGGAAATCCCTCCCCATGTGGCTGGAGACAGCCAGCCTGTGGCACCAACAGCAATGGGGGGTGGTTCCTTTGGGAAAGCAGAGCTAGCGTGGCCTCATTTTATTAATTTATTACATTTTATCCTGTCCAGTAGCCAAAATGGCTGTCTGGGCAGTATCCAGATAAAAAATATTCATCATAAAGCCCCGTTTAAATTACCCAGTCAAATCACTCCTCAACCACAAATTGAAACCATTAAAGGCACAGGAGCACTGAGTATAAATCTCATAAAACTTGAGACTCATCTTAGCCATTATAACATTGAGTGGATGAAAAGGTCTTTGCACGGTGCTGAACAGAATAAAGAGAAGGCACCAGGCAAACCTCTCTGGGGAACTGGTTCCAGAGTCAGAGGGACACCGCCGAGGAGGCCCTTCTGCTCCAGCCACGCGTCTTGTTTGTTTCTGAGAGGGCTCTCTGAGAAGGACCTCCAGTGAGGGCCTTTGGGCACGGACAGGCGGGTATGGGGAAGAGGCCTTCCTTTAGATACCCTGGCCCCAAGTCGTCCAGGGATTTAAATGTTAATGCTAACGCTCTGAATTGGGCCCAGATTTCAACTGGTAACCAGAGGTGTGACCTGAGTTTCGGCGGGAGCACCAGTCCGCTGGGCCAGGAACACCCTGGGCTAGTGGGGTGCTGGACTGGGACTGGGAGACCTGGGATCGCCCCCTTCTGCACTGTCCCTGGGGTACCAGGGGGGCTCTCTTGCCTGGGAGGCAAGCCGGCCCAGCCTTGCCTTGTGCTGTCCCCGTGGGGGCTGTTCCGAGTGAGCTCTGAAGTGCACCGGGAGCAGCCCCAGTTTGGGCCGCGGCCTCTGTGGGAGCTCCTTGACCGGCAGCTTCCCTCGAACACAGGAGGGCGACACCTCTCCCGAATCGCCTTGCTGTCCCCAGGCTTCCTCGTGCACCGTGACGGGGCCCAGGCTGGGGACGCCGGTCCCGGCTTCCAGGAAAGCTTGCTTCCCGCCCTTGCCGAGCACGAGGGAGCTGCTGGGCCGGGGCTGAGAGGGACCGTGGGCTGCCCGGAGGCAGGGAAGGAGATGCCTGCTGGGGTTGCTTGTGCCCTTGCCCCCGCTCTCTTTCGTGCGGGGCGGGGGGGGGGCTGTGTGTCAGAGGCCTCCAGCCCACTGCATCTGAGTCGCTTCTCCACTGCGTCCCCACAGGTTACGGCCACAGACGCAGACAGTGGCTCCCTGGGCACCCTCTCCTACTCCCTGGGGACCGGCCTCAGCAGCACAGCCCCCTCAGCATTCAGCCTGGGAGAGAAGACCGGCCAGCTCTGCACAACGCAGGACCTGGACCGCGACGAGGGCATCACCTCCTTTGACTTCACGGTCACCGCTGTCGATGGGGTGAGTGGGAGGCCGCTGGCGGGGAAGGCTTGCCAGGCTGGGCTCCTCCTAGGCGCGGCCAGCCAGGAGCTGTGCTGGGAGTCTTGCGGGGGCGCTGGGCATCCGCCTTGTCCTGCCCAGCAGATGCCGGTTGCCTGAGGCATTACAGAGGGCTAAAGGGCAGCTTTTGCCCGCCTGCCACATTGCCAGTTTGGGCTCTGCTCCATCTGGCACAGTCCACCGGGCGCTGTTCTTGAGGGCCGGGAAGGGCCATGAGGGCTGGAGTTCCCGGGGGCGCTTCCGCAGACCGCGCCCACCCAGCACGACATCCCTGCCCTGCCGTCCCCTCCCCCAGGGCGGGCTAAGCTCCATGGCCTACGTCAAGGTCTTCCTGGAGGATGTCAACGACAACGCGCCAGCCTTCTACCCGCTGGAGTACGCCACGAGCATCAGCACCCAGAGTCAGCCCGGCACGGCGGTGCTGCGGGTCACCGCCCACGACAAGGACCATGGGGCGCACGGGCGGGTGACGTACCACATTGCCGCGGGCAGCACCCCGGCCCTTTTCGCCATCAACCCGGACACGGGTGAGGCACAGGGAGGTGGGCGGCTCCTGAGAGCCGGGCGGGGGAGCAGAAGGGTGGTGGGGCAGGGTGGTGCCCTCAGGGGCTGCCCGCCCGCCCGCCCGCCCTGGGGAGGCTCTCCAGCGCCCAGGCAGCTCCTGCTCCCTCTCCCACAGGCGCCATCTCCCTGCTCCGGGCTCTGGCAGGCAAGGCCCACACGCTGGTGCAGCTGGAGGTCGCCGCGCGGGATGGAGGGGGGCTGGTTGCCCAGCCCAATGCTCGCGTCAACATCAGCATCATGGCTGGCACAGTGTCCCCCCCCCAGCTTTGAGCGGGCGCAGTATTACTTCAATATCCCGGAAGACACCCAGCCAGGCAGCAGCGTGGGGGCTGTCCACGCCCACAACCCCCCAGGTAGCGTGAGCCCCGTTCCTTCTCTGCTTGGCCTGGCCCCACGTCGCAGAGCCGCCAGTGTGGGGTGCTCCAGCTCAGCCCTGCCAGCCAAGCAGGGCAGCCGGGGGGGTGGGTAAGGGGGCTCCTGTCGGGGTCCATTCAGTTCCCCATGCCTGGTGCACAGGCTGCTTCAAAGAGCACACGAGACCCTCGAGGCAGATTGAACCGTTTGAACCCAGGGCCATGAGGAGAAGTTAGTGGGGCCCAAGGAAGGGTGGGAGCGAGGCATGGTTTCCGGCTCACCGGCGTCCTTCCTGGGGCTGAGGCCAAGGCGGGCTCCACCGGGACCAGGTGGCTGGGGCGGAGGTGGTTTCCCCAGTCTGGGCCTCCTGCCTGTCCGTCTCCCCCCAGGCCACGCAGAGAGTGTGCTTTACTCCATCTCTTCGGGGGACCCCCATGGCTACTTCTCCATCGACCCAGGCTCGGGTCACCTCTACACCAGCCTGCCTCTGGACCACGAGGCCCACCCTGCCGTGGCGCTGGAGGTCCAGGCGCGCAGCGGCTCTCCCCCGGCGTACAGCAGCGCCCGGGTGCAGGTCAGCGTGACCGACGTGAACGACAACGTGCCGGTCTTCCCGGCCCCGTCCGACTCGGTGCTGCTGCCCGAGGGGGTGCCGCTGGGGACCGTGGTGTACACCGTCCAGGCCGAGGACCGGGACAGCGGAGCCAACGGGCAGGTGCACTTTGAGCTGGCCGCCGGACGCGGGGGGGCCTTCGCCGTGGAGCCCTTCTCAGGGAAGGTGCGGCTGACGGGGGCCCTGCAGAGGGAGGGAGGCGCCCCCCACACGCTGCTCATCCTGGCACAAGACGGGGGGGCGCCCAGGCTCAGCGCCACCTTCACCCTCCTGGTCCACGTGCAGGCTGAGGACGAGCACGTGCCGGTGTTCGACACGCTGACCTACCGAGTGGAGCTGCGTGAGGGGGTGCCCGTGGGCACCCACTTCCTGCAGGTGCGGGCGCTGGCGCGGGAGTCCAGCGCCCCCCTCACCTACCGCCTGCGGGCCGACGGGGACGCCGCCAGCTTTGGCATTGCCCCCGACACGGGCTGGCTGCACGTCCGCACGACCCTTGACCGGGAGGGGCAGGAGCTCTACGCGCTGACGGTCCTGGCCGTGGCCGGCTCCGGAGAGGGCCGGCAGACCGGCACCAGCACCGTGCGGATCACCATCACCGACGAGAACGACAACAGCCCCCGGCTCAGCGAGGAGCGCTACTTCTTCAGCGTGCCGGAGAACAGGCCGGCCGGCAGCAGCGTGGGCCGCGTCACTGCCAGCGACCGGGACGCCGGGCAGAACAGCCGCCTCAGCTACCGCCTGGTGCCACACGAGGGCCCCTTCCTGATCCACACGCAGACTGGTGAGGGGCCGGGCCTGGGGCTGCAGGAGGCCTCCCCCTGGCAGCTCCTCTGCTGGGCGGGAGCCCCGGACGGTAGCACCCCGCCCGGGCTCGAGCGATGGCGGCCGGCAGTGTGAGCCCCGCAAAGCTGGCCCTCCTGGGGCTGCGGAGGTCCCACCCCTGCCCAAGTACCCATTGCCTGGCAGCCGGCTGGCTGGCTTTCTTGCAGCTTCTCCCCCGGCCGAGCGTCTGGCAGGAGGAGCAGCAGGCAGCTCTGTGGGGGCTCGAGGCATCTGGCCCTGTTCTTTTGCCCCTCCCCAGTGCAGCCCCCCCCCCCGAGTTTCTCCACAGTGGAATTCAGCCCCGGGCGGAGAGCAGTCCCCCACCTGACTGCGGCTGCACTGGGCGTCTCTTCTGCAGGGGAGCTGAGCCTCCGCAGGAGCCTGGACCGGGAGCTGCAGGCCAGCCACCAGCTGCTGGTGCTGGTGCAGGACGGGGGGACCCCACCTCGCAGCACCACCGGCACTGTCTACGTGACCGTCCTGGATGAGAACGACCATCCACCCACCTTCCTGCATGTGGCCGAGGGGCGGGAGCTGCTCCTGCAGGTGGGGGAGGCAGCTGCCCGGGATGGGGGTCTGGCTCCTTGCCCGGCGGGCCCAGCTGGTCCCAGCGGAGGAGGGAGGGACGCGGGGGCAGGCTGTCGCCCACCGTGGGTGCGTCTGGGGGGACAGGGAGGCTGGCAGCTGATTCCATTGCCCCACTCTCTCTCGGCCAGGTTCCGGAGGAGAAGCCGCCTGGGCTGCTGGTCGCCTCGCTGCAGGCCAAGGACCCCGACGAAAGCGAGAACGGCACTGTCTCCTACACGCTGGCAGGTGCATGAGCCTGCGGGCGTCACTCTGCTGGGAAGCCCCGGGCACTCAGGGTGATCCTGGTGCCCCGGCCCCTGCACCTGGCACAGTGAGCAGCCGGGAGGGTGGCCGCAGCCCCCGGCATGACCTCCTTCCACAGGGAGGGCACACAAGCTCTGAGCCTCAACCAACGGAGTAGGCTTGGAAGCTGCGCTACTCGGAGGCCAGCCTGTGGACGGTTTGTGGGCTGAGGGCTGACATTGTGTGCGTGCGTGTCCATGAGAGAGGCGAGGGGAGGTTTCACCGGAGTGCGGAGATACACGTGGCCACGGCGTCTCTGCACGGGGTCCGCCCTCCCTCTTCCCCCCCCCGGCATCTCCCAGTGCCTCTGAGCGATCCTTAAATTCCATCGAGTTGCCCAGCTGGGTGTTTTTGAGGGTTTGGAAATGATGAACAAACAGTCTGGGGGCAAAGAGTGATTCAGAGAAAGCCGTCAGTGCCTTTGGCCAAGGTGAAAAGGCACTGACCTGGCTTTGGGCCTGGTTCCCCACTGCGGTTTTCCCGAGGGTGGACCAGGAAGCGTGTCCTGAGCGGAGGAGAACACCATCCGCAGGCCACCTCCAGCAGGGGCTGCTCCCAGGCAGGCCCTGCCTGAGCCCGGCGCTGGAGGGTGTCTTTTTTGCTGGCTGAGTGGCTTGGCCTGGAGTTCCGGGGGGGCAGGGGGGGTTCCTTAGTAGCTCTCCTGCGCCACAGCTCAGCTGGGCCTCTCTGCTCCCACGGCTGGGGGACGGGCAGGCACGTGCTCAGCTAGTCGGACAGCCACCCCAGTGGGAGGGCGTCGATCGTGTTCTGCACGCGAGGGCCTTCGGGCCCTTCCAACCCGCCTCCTCCACGATTCTGTGAGCAGCTCGCCTCCATTCTTCCTCTCGGTAGGGGCCTGGGCGGACCGCTTCTCCCTGCACGGGACCACGGGGGAGCTGCGCACCACGACCCCACTGCGCCAGGCAGAGCGGGGCGAGTACCTGTTCACGGTGACGGCGAGCGACCGGGGCGCTGTCCCCCTGAGCACTACCGCGGCAGTGCGCATCCAGGTGGGGCTCCCAGCACCTCCCGGGACCGTGTGGGTGGGCGAGCCGCGAGCCCTCCACCACAGGCGCCACGGCGCGCCGCCCCCGGCCCGCCTCAGTGCCTCTCTCCCCGCACAGGTGGTGTCCACAGCCCGTGTGCTGCCCCGACCCGACCCCGCCGTGCTGACGTTCTACCCCACGGAGGGGCTGCAGCCTGGCTCGGCGGTCGGCTCAGTGGCGCTGCCGGAGCCCGCGGCACATGGGCCAGCGACCTATATGCTGGTGGGGGGAGGCAGCGGGGACGGCCTCTTCGTGGTGGATGCGAGCACGGGAGTGATCTACGTGGCCCAGGAGCTGGACTACGAGGCTGGAGTGCGGCACACGCTGCAAGTGAGGGTGGAGGACGTCCAGCACGGCTACCCCAGCCAGCGCCTGGTGCTGGTGGAGATCCACGTGCAGGACAGCAACGACCACGTGCCCACCTGGCCCCAGGACCCCGTCACCGTGGTGGTATCCGAGAGCGCCGCCCCCGGCGTGCCCCTCTTCACCTTCCAGGCCCTGGACGGGGATGGCCCCGGCCCCAACAGCCAGCTGAGCTACAGCCTCCAGCGCCAGGAGGGCACCCAGCCCGCCTTCCGGCTGGATGCCCACAGCGGGGAGCTGAGCCTGCAGGGCGCTCTGGACCGCGAGGCCTGGCCGGCCTACTTGCTGGTCGTCCAGGCCACCGACCAGGCCGCCAATGTCAGCCAGCGCCACTCGGCTGCTGTGACCGCACACGTCTTCGTGATGGATGAAAACGACAACAGCCCCGAGTTCCTCTCCCCGCCAAGGGTCGATGTGCCGGAGGACCAGCCGACGGGCTTCCTGGTGCTTCAGGTGGTGGCCAGGGACCGCGACCTGGGAGAGAACGGGCGCGTCGGCTACACGCTGCGGGCTGGGAACGCCGAGGGCCAGTTCCACCTCAACCCCAGCACCGGTGAGCTGCAGGGGGAGCTGCTGCAGCCTGCGCGGTGGGCAGGGGGTGGGTGCCTTGTGCGTGTGGCCGGGCCGTGCGAACCAACGCGGGATGGTGTCGCCGCGTTGCCAGTGCATCGAGGGGCATCCGTGAAGAGTTAGGTTTAGGGTTACCTGCCCAGCCTCTTCCTTTACCCTGGAATAGAAGCACTCCCTGACCCCTCAGCGCCAGAGTGACTGTCTACCCGCGAGCAGGACCTCTGCTCGCCTGAGGGTCAGGCCAGCAAAGGCGCAGGGGTCACTCTGGGCTAGCCGTGGGAAGGCAGGCCTGGAGGGCGGGCCGCATGCCAGCCCGGGCCAGAGGTGCCAGGTGGTCTGCGGAACGGCCAGGAGACGGCAGGGCACTGAGCACGGGCCTCGGCGCATCCAGGGGAAGCCGGGGGCTCGTCTTCCGCCGTCCCCAGCTCAGCTGTCGGCTCCCTTCTTCTTCCAGGGGCCTTGTCCATCATGCGGGCGCTGGACCGGGAGGACGCTTCCCAGCATAATCTGACTGTGGTGGCCACAGACCACGGATCCCCACGGCGCTCGGCTACACAGCTGCTGGCGGTGCATGTCCTGGACGTGAACGACGAGGTGCCCGCGTTTGAGCAAAGCCATTACGAGGCCAGCGTGGCTGAGAACCTGCCCCCCGGCGTCCCGGTGCTGCAGCTGCGTGCCACGGACCGGGACCTAGGTAGCTGCCGGAAACGGGCTGGGCCCACCCGGGCACTCCGGCGGGAGAAGGGGGCCAGGAGCCAGTTCTGGTCAGGAAGCGGCAGAACTCAGGAGCCCTCCATGCCCGGAGGGAGCCGCGGGGCCTGTGGCACAGCCATCTCCGGCCACTGAGCCCTTCCTGTGAAGGACGCGCCTGAGCAGAGAGCAGGGCTTTCCTCCCAGCATGCCAGGACATCACAGGCCCATTTTGCTGCCGGGCCAGAAATGCAGGGCCTCTGCCCAACCCGCTCCAGCTGGTCTCTTGTGGCCAGAGGCAGCCTGCTCAGGCGACCAGCATGGGCCCTTCCGTGGCCTTCCCGCAGCCCCCGGGTGCCCTCCTGGTCCAGAGCTGACCGCCTGCTGCAGCCCCCTCCCCACTCATGGACATGCCGCCATTCTGGTGGCGCTGATGGCTCAGCGGTGCAGCTGGGCGTCAGTGGGGGTGGTTGTGTGGCCCTCGTTGGAATGCAGAGCGGCCCTTTTCTGCAGCACCCTGATGGGATGCTCAGCACCGCAGCTGGATTCCAGGCACACCAGCTGGACAGAGCTTCCCGTGCCGTCCTTGCACCTCACGGGCTTCCAGCTCCGGCAGGTGCGGCAGCTGCAGGCCAGCCCAACCGCCATGCTGCTGCTGCGAGAGCCCCGTGGGTGTCGGGCCCTGCGGAGACGCATTCCTTAGCATGCCCCTATGATGCCCCCTGGCTGGCGACGTCGGCCCGTGACTGGGTGGCCCCCAGTGGGGGAGGCATGTGTGCCCTGGGGCATCCGGGTGGCTGCGCGTGCCAGGTTGTGGGTGTGGCGGGTGGCACGGGTGACCCCCTGTGGAGCGTGGTGGCTCAGCTCTGCTCATGAGAGATGTCTCTCTGCAGGAGCCAGCGGGCAGGTGTCCTACGGCGGAATCTCTGGGGACGACTTCTCCATTGACCCCCAAACAGGCCTCGTCACCACTCGGCGCTCATTAGACCACGAGGAGCGGGCCGAGCACTTGCTGACAGGTGACGGGCCCCACCGGCTTGGGGTGGGCGGGATGCTGTGGCGCAGGAGGCACAGCCCCCGTGGCCTCCCCCGGGCCCCTGCTGCCACCGCACGGTACTGCACCGTGCAGTTCGGCGCTGGGCGAAGCTCTCCCACACTAGAGACTTTCCAAAAGAAACGGGGCAGCCACCTGAGTGCGATGGTGCAACGTGGTGTCCTGCAACAGTGGGGGGTGGACCGGATGGCCTCCACGGCCCCTTCCAACTCCACGATTCCATGATTCTCTGAAGAATCCAGGGCCACAAAGACATTTCCTTGGCACAGGACGGTGGAAGTCCCACCTTCCCATTTTGAAAGAGTGGCACTGAAAGCGGGGTGTCGCTTGGTGGCAGGGGCTCAAGTGTAGGGAAGTCCCGGTCCTTTTCCCCACATTGATGCCCCAGGTCAAATCCCACCCCAAAGCACCCCCTCAGCTGTGGGGGGGGCACTTGTCACCTGCCCTCTGCAGCTCACCACGGTGTTGTGGGAGCCTTTGGGGTCAGGATTGCGGTGCCCAGCGGTGGGGATTTGTTCTCCCTCCCTACACATGACCTGAGGCAAATTGCACCCCCCCCCCCGGCTGCATTTAAAGAATGAAAGCCTGTGGTGCCCACACGGAGCTGCCTGCTCATGCCTGGTTCCACCTGCTGCTTTTTTGGGGGTGGGGGTGGGCTGGGGGAGACAGGTCCTAGTCCTGTGACTGCAGAAAGCATTGGAGAACCAGGACAGAGGTGTTTCTATAGGGGTGATGGCACCTGGTCATGGAATGTGCAGGAAAGAAATCTGGCCAAGACTGATTGCTTCATGCACTTCACGTGCATTGTAGGAATGACCTGAGCAAAGCTATGTGTAGGGATATCCGGGCTTGTTAAATATGTTCCGCACATGATGCAGGGACAGCTGGCTGCTTCACCCCCCTCACACTGACAGGATCAGATTCATGCGGATGCATTCATGCGCAAATCGCCCTGAAGGGGCTCCCAGGTGCAGTTTTACAATTTAATATGTGGGGGATGTGCGCACTTTCAGTTGGTGTTCCTTTTATTTCTCATATTTTTATATGACTAAATTTGCACAAAATTATGGGTATTTTTTTTAACCCTGCAAGTCCAAAAAATCCATGGGAGCTGGGAGAAGCTTGCCCACTGCGGAACCTGGGGGTCAGACGTGTAGAAATCCGAACTCACCTGAATCCTGTGCGGATTTCTCCAATGTTTGGAGTCATGCGTCTCTCGTTCAGCCTTCTGGCCCGGAGCGCCCACCCAGCTGCCCGCTGCAGGGCAGGTGCGCAAAAGCACCAGGCTGCCTGGGCACGGAGCGGGTGCTAGTGCTGATGCCTCTTGGTGCTTGCCCCGTTGCCCCCAGGCTTCCAGCTTCCCTTTCCTCTGGCAGTGTACGCACAGGACATGGGGCTGCCCCCTCACCAGGCCAAGGCCACCGTGCGCATCCTGGTGGTGGATGAAAACGACCATGCCCCGCTCTTCCAAAGCGACGCCTGCTCCTTGGAGGTGCCCGAGAACCAGGCCCAGGTGGGCCTCCTCACTGTGCGCGCCACGGACCACGACGCGGGGGAGAACGGGCGCCTGTCCTACCGCCTGGCGGGTGAGGAACCCGTGAGAGGACGGGGCCTCCTGGAGGGGAGGGAGGACCAGGCAGTGCTCGAGGGGGGCAGGACTGCAGCCTGGATGGATGGATGGATGGATGGGGGGGGCACTCCCCGCTTTTGCTGGCTTTGGCTTTTCCGTACACCCCGTTTTCCGCTTTGGAACTGGAGCTGCATCTTAAAACCAGTTGGCAGCCTGGTATGGGCAGCATGGGGGGGGCAGAGATGCAGCAGTGCCTTCACCAGAACCCCCCCTGTGGTCCCCCCACCCACCCCACAGCTGGAGACCTGGAGAAAGACTTCATCCTGGACCCCGTCTCAGGCCAGCTGTCCACCGCGCAAGGGCTGGATCGGGAGCGTGTGGCCAGCTATGCGCTGACCATCCAGGCCTGTGACCACGGTGTGCCCCCACGCTGCGCCAGTCTGCTGGTCCACGTGCACGTCCTGGACCTGAACGACAATGCCCCTCGCTTCGCACAGGAGGCCTACGGGGCGGAGGTGCCCGAGGACCTGCCCGCCGGGGCCCTGGTGCTGCAGCTGGACGCCTTCGACGCCGACGAGGGCTCCAATGGCCGCGTCTCCTACTTCCTGGCCAATGAGTCCCTGGGCACCTTCCAGGTGGAGCCACAGACAGGCCGCCTCACCAGCACGCAGCTGCTGGACCGGGAGCGCCGAGCGGCCTACCGCTTCCTGGCCCTGGCGGTGGACGCCTCCCCCCTGAACCCACGCAGCGCCTCCGTGCAGGTCACCGTCACTGTCCACGACGTGAACGACCACATCCCGGCCTTCCCCTCCAGCCCGCTGCTCGTCAAGCTGCCCCGCAACACGCCTCCCAAGCGAGCGGTCGCCACGCTGCGTGCCGAGGACCATGACGCGGGGGCCAACGCCTCCATCCTCTACCGCTTCGCTGTGCCCACGCCGGCCTTTGCCATCAACACCTACACGGGCTCCATCCAGCTGCTGCAGCCGCTGGCTGCCCTCAGCCCCCGCCAGCGCACGCTCTTCGTCCTGGCCAGTGACCTGGGGCAGCCCCCGCTGTCCTCCACCGGCGTGGTCGTCATCCACCTGCAGGACGAGCCCTACCAGGGCGTGCACTTCCCTCGCCCCGCCAGTGACGTCACGCTGCCCGAGAACGCCAGAGCAGGTGCTCGCTCGTGCCGGATTCTCTTGCCGGGGGGCTGCTCTGCCCCCACCCCAGAAGCCCGAAACTGGTCTTGGGACGGGCTGGGGGGAGCCAGAGCTGGTGGCGGGCGGGTGGCCTGCGTCCATCGACTCCGGACAGCGCTCTGCCTCCCTCGTGGGGAGTCCCCGCTGCCTGTCAGCGGCCGCAGCGCTGGGCTGGATGGAGCGAGGGCTCGTCCTCGTTGCCAGGCAGCCCGCTCTGCTCCACAGCCACAGGGTGGCGACGCCGGAGGGCGTCAGTGGCAGGGGGAGGCTGCCCCTCCCTGCAAAGGGCCCTCAGCCGGGGACGCCTTGCGCCAGCCGGAGAACAGCTCCTCCTGCCATCTGTGCCAGCTGCTTGGGGCAGCGCAGGAGAAGTGGGGCCAGAGGGGGACTTGCCCGTGGGGGCAGGCACGAGGCACTCGCGGCCGCGCCACCAGCGCCCCACCCCCCGCCCCGCCTGCTGAGCCTCCGTTCCCGCTGCTGCGCCGGTTCAGGGGGCACCGGCTGCCCGTGACAGGCCTCTGCCCCGCTCCCCAGGCACCACGGTGGTGAGCATCCCGGCCACGCACACGGCAGGCTCCTCCGGCCGCATCGTCTACAGCATCCTCAGCGGCAACGAGAAGGGAGCCTTCCACATCCAGCCCAGCTCAGGTATGGAGCAGGAGGGGACTGAGGCTGGTCGGGCCAGAGCATGGGTGGGGCATTGCTGCAGGTGTGCCGCAGGGGTGGGCCAGCCGTGGCCGGGCCGCTCGGCCGTGCGCCCCCACCGCCTCTGAGTCCCAGTCATGAATGCAAGGCCCGGTGGCTGCAGAAGCGCCGGGCGGCCCTCGGAGCACCACCGGTTGCGCTGAGCTAAACCCAACTCTGGTAGGAAGCGGGCGGGGGCGGGCAGTGTAAGCAGTTGCCTTCTTCCTTGCTCACTGGATGTCAGGGCAGATGGGGGCCCTGGAAGTGGAGGGAGGGCTTGACCCCCCTGGGGGCAAGGCGGCTTGGTCCATGCACCCACCAGTGGAGGGGTTGATGAGCTGCTCCCTGCTGCTGTTCGTCTGCAGCACCCGGGGTCCAAGGGGGGAGCAGGGTGCCCAGGCCAGGGGCTGTGCGCTGCAGCTTGGGCTGGCGGCCACCCCGCGCATTTGATGGCACCTCACGTGGGGGTCAGTGATGCCGCGTCCTTTCTATAATCAGCAGCCAAGTGCACACAGGTCCCAAGAAATCCTCCTCCTGGCATCCGGATGGCCTCCCGCAGCGGCCCATCTGGTTCAGTACCATGCCCCACAAGCGGCCCTCCAGCGCCTCTGCTTTTCTCCCACAGAGGAGCACCTGCTACCGGCTTGCCCTTTGGGGCAGTGAGCCCAGGATGGCCTCTGGTGACCGCCGTCCCTACCTGGCTCCCAGATGCCCTTAGAAACAGAGAAACAGAGCGAGGCAGAAGGGGCCTCCCGGGCCATCTAGTCTGACCTCCGGCACCAGCCGGCTCCGCTCATGACATGCCCACCATGTGCATGTCCAGCCTATCCTTGAACACTCGCACCAATGGGGCCTCAACCACCTCGTGTGGAAGCCCATTCCACGCCCTAGCTGTCCTGACTGTCAGGAAGTGCTTCCTGGCATCCCAATTAAACCTGGGTTCCCTGAGCTTGGCTCCGTTGGAGCACGTCCTGCCTTCCTCTGCAAGGGAGGACAGGTCTCTACCCATCTCCATGTGACATCCCCTCACATACCTCTATGTCGCCAACAGATCCCCTCTGAGTCTCCTCTTCTCCAGGCTGAAGAGACCCAGTTCCCTCAGTCTTGCCTCATATGGCATCCCCTGCAATCCGGCCACCAACCGTGTGGCCCTGCGCTGCACTGACTCCAGCCTGGCTATAGCCTTCCTGTAATGAGGGGCCCAAAGCTGAGCACAAGACTCCAGTTGTGAGTGCACCAGAGTCGTATAGAATGGTGGTAGAGGAGCTAGAGGAGGGTGCCCTGCATGCCTCACACAGAGAGCCAGCCCTCCCACTGGCTCTGGCTCTGGCTCCGGCTCCGGCTCCGGCTCCGGCTCCGGCTCTGTGGGAGCTCCAGTTCCACCCAAGGCCCATGGCTCTGGCCGCCACGTCTGCAGCCTGCATTCCATGCAGCTGCCGTGGCTTTGTTTACATCTCTCCTGTGAGGTTAGGGAGCAGCCAGCCAGGTCTTGGAGAAGCAACAGGGCCGCATCCCCCATCTCCCTCTGGCACAGGTCACCATACATGGTGACCATAGCTCAGCTGCACCCCTATCTGGTCAGGGATACCCTGCTGTCAGTGAGCGATGCTCTGGTAATCGCCAGGCTGGACTACGGCAATGCGCTCTGCGTGGGGCTGCCCCTGAAGACTGAGTGGCAGATGTGGCAGCCAGACTAATGACGGGGAACAGACAGCTTGACCACACAGCACCAATGCCATCCCCACCCCACCCCGCACTGGCTGCCTTTATGCTTCCGAGCCCAATTCAAGGTGTAGGTTTTAACCTATGAAGCCCCCTGTGGTTTGGGACTACGATACCTGATGGAACTCCCCTGCCAGACTTCTCCACCTGGACCTGACGATTGAATTCTGGTGCTTTCCCTGCCACCTCCAAGGAAAGCTTGGGTAGGGGCGACAAGGAGAAAGGCCTTTCCAGTGGTGGCCCCGTTACGGAACAAGCTCCCCACTGTGGCCCATATGTCGCTGTGGTGCCAGGTAGGGTGCCCTCTACTGCAGGGCATTAAATGAATCTGTTGGGGCCTGCTAGTTGGTAACCAGGTCTCAAGATTGTCTCCTAATGATTATCTTTTGCAAATCTGTTTTAAGTTTTGTATTGTTAACTTTTAATGATGTTTCAATGTATTTCGATATAGTGTGTTTTATATTCTTTTAGGTGCAAATGTGAACTGCCTAAAGAACTTTAGCTGTTGGGTGGCATAGCAGTCAATCGATCGATCGATCGATTGATTCATTGAGAAGAGCTGTGCTGGAGCAGACCAGGGGAGCCTGTCCAGCTCAGCCTTCTGCTTGCACCCCACGAGAGGAGAGGAGGGCGGCACCCCCCTCCCGTGTTCCCCCTCAGGTGGCGTCCATGGGCCCTGGCCTGACGGGAGCCCACCGCCCAGCCCCAGGTCCCAGCGCAGGGTGGGGCGCCTCCCTCCCACAGCCCGCGAGGCCCCTCGGGCAGCTGCCCCTCCGACTGCCCGGGGCCTCTGTGCCAGGAGCAGCCGGGCCGCTGGTGTGGGTCTTCTCCTGGAAAGGGTGCCGGCCCATCCGGGCAGCCCTGGAGGAGGAGCCCGGGAGAGCCGCCCTCCCTGGGGCAGGGGGCACAGCTCGTCCCGTGCTTCCGCAGCGAGAGGAGCAAACGTGTCCCCTTGCCTCCCAGGGCTGGTGTCCGTCCGGAGCCCCGGAAGCCTGGACTTTGAGCTGAGCGCGCGCTTGCGCCTGGTGCTGCAGGCCGAGTCAGCCTCTTCCTACGCCTTCATGGCCGTGAACATCAACCTGCAGGACGTCAACGACAACCAGCCACGCTTCCAGCTGCAGAACTACGTGGCCTTCATCCGGGAGGCGCAGAGCTACGACTCGCCCGTCATCCAGGTACCGCCGGGATGGAGAGGAGCGGGCCCCGCAGCGCCTGCGCAAAGGCGGGCAGGTCACGGGGCCAGCCGGGGCTGGGGCCCGCACGGAACCGGCCCCCATGGAGGGCCGTGGGCGCTCTGGCAGGGTGGGAGCGGAGGGGCAGCAGAGGTGGCCAGGCCTGCGGGGCTTTTCCGGGGGCCGGGAACTCCCGCTGCGCGCTCGCCCTAGGTGGTGGCCGACGACTTGGACCAGGGCCTCAACGGCCAGGTGAGCTACACCATCAACCAGACGCTGCCCATGAACGGGCTGTACCACATCAACGCGCAGACGGGGATCATCACGACGGCCGCCATCCTGGACCGAGAGATTTGGGCCCAGACGCGGTGAGCCAGCCTCCTCTCCCCCACGGGCCCCTGGCACTCCTCCGGTGCCTGGAGGTGCAGCCCCGCTGAGGGAAGCTGTGCCCAGGCCGGGCCGATCCCCACCTCTGCCTCATGCCCCACGTGGCCCTCCGAGTCGGCAGCCACGCGGTGGGGCTTGCGGGCTGATTGCGAAGGTGAGGCCCCGCAGGCCACAGGTGCGGCAAGCGAGGGGCCGTGGCTGGGAGGGGCTGACCAACTGCCTTGGCGCTGCCCCCCTCGGTCGGCACAAGCCGAGCCCCCATGGCCTCCGCAAGCCTCTGAGGCCCCCAAGCTGTTGTGCTCTCCGCAGGCTGGTGCTGACGGCCACGGACAGAGGAAGCCCTCCCCTCGTGGGCTCGGCCACTCTCACGGTGGTGGTGATGGACCTGAATGACAACAGTCCCACCATCCCTGCCCCCTGGGAGGTGCGGGTGCCTGAGAGTGAGTGTCACCGTCGGGATGGGGCGGGCGGGCGGGCGGGGGGGGGGCCGTTGAGGAAGCTGCAGCCCCACAAAGAATGAAGCGAGAGGGCAGTGGCCCAGCGGGCGAGGGGCCCTTGTCTGCCACGCACCCCTGAAAGGATGCCTCCCCTGTCTGAGCAGACCCGCTGCTCCGGGAGCCCACCGTGCCCCTGGCTGGACCCTGAGCATCCAGCCGGGCCCCCCGGACCTCCCTGTGGCCGGGCCGGGCCGAGCCTGCCCCGCCGAGCCCCCTGACCGGCTGCCCTCCTCTCCTAGACGCCCTGGTGGGCACCGAGATCACCATGGTGACAGGCAACGATGTGGACTGCGGGCCCGCGCTCTCATACTCGCTTGTGCTGGACAGTGGCGCCGCCGGGGCCTTCAGCATCCTGCGCTACGGAGGGCGCATCACGCTGGTAGGGCCGCTGGACTACGAGGAGCGCCGCTCCTACGCCCTGACCGTGCGCGCCTCCGACTCCCAGCATGAGACGGAGGCCAACGTCACTGTCCTCGTGGAGGACGTGAATGACAACGCCCCCGCCTTCCCCCAGGCCCTGTACCAGGTACCTGCCCTGCCCCCTCCCGCGTCGAGCTCTCTTGCGCCCCGCGGCCAGTGCCAGGCAGAGCGGCCGGCGGCCGGCGGCCCCCCTCTAGCTGGGCCTCCCCAGCTCCGCAGGGCTGGGCCAGCAACCGGAGGAAGCGGTGACTTGGCCGTGCTTCTGGCCACCACTCCGTGCTTGTGCTTCAGGTGGCCCGGAACCATGGCGCTTGGGCTCTGGAGTGCCTCATGCCCGGCTCCGTCTGGGCAGCGGGTCGTCCCTGGGCACCGGGCACAAGAGCAGCCTGAGGGCCGAGCAAGGGAAGAGGGGCAGTGTCAACACACGGGGAAGCCCCGCTCGGCCGCACGCTGCCCGGATCGTTCCTGGGCGGGGGGATCCTGCTTCCTCCTCCCCCCCAACATCATCACCATCACAGCAACGCCCAGCTGTCTCTGCTGCCCCCAGTGCCCCCAGTGCAGGCTCGAGGTCTTGGAGGGCGGGTGGCCCGTCCATCGCCACTCACAAGCCTTCCCCCCGGCCTCCCCCAGCGTGCCTGCCGGGGCAAGCAAGCTCCGAGAAACGAGGGGCCTGCCTCTGCGTTCTCTAGGTGCTGCTGCCAGAACACACCCCAGCCGGCACCTCCATCCTGACCCTCAGTGCCACAGACCTGGACTCAGGAGAGAACGGAGAGGTCAGCTACCAGCTGGCCGTGCCCAGCCGCCACGTCGCCATCCACGCCAGCAACGGTACACAGGCTGGGAGCGGGGGGGCGGGGAGCAAAGCGTCAGCCCGCATGGGTCCACCCGGCCGGGGCTGGGCCTCCGTCTCCTGGGGGGCACAGCTTGTGGCCGCTCAGCCTCCGGGGCACTGGGCCCCCGCTCTGCCTCCGGGTCCAACGCCGGCTCCCCTGGCCTTGCAGGGACGTTGTTCACCACCCAGCCGCTGATCCTGGATCCAGGACGCCCCACCCTGGACCTCCTGGTTGAGGCTCGTGACGGGGGTGCGCCCCGGCTCTCCGCCTGGGCCACGGTGCAGATCCACGTGCTCGATGTGAACGACCACGGGCCCCAGTTCCTGGAGGCGCACTACAATGCCTGCGTGGCCGAGGACCTGCGCCCAGGCGCGACCCTGCTCACCCTGGCGGCCTCCGACGCGGACGTGGCGCGGGACAACGCGGCCCTGGACTACACGATCGTCAGCGGCAACAGCGGCCACGCCTTCCAGCTGGAGGGCCAGGTCAGTGGGGCCAGCAGCCTGGTCCTGGTCGAGCCCCTGGACTTCGAGGCCGTGGCGGTCTACAACCTGACGGTGGCCGTGGCTGACCGCGGAGTGCCGCAGCACAGCGCCGTGGTGCCCGTGGTCCTCACAGTGCTGGACGTCAATGACAACCCCCCCGTCTTCGGGCGCACCACCTACCGCATGGCTGTGAGCGAGGGCGCTGCGCCCGGCACGGAGCTGCTGCGCGTGGCGGCCCACGACCCCGACTCCGGCCCCCACGGCCAAGTGCACTACAGCATCAGCTCGGGCGACCCCCACGGGCTCTTCCAGCTGCACCCGTCCAGCGGGGCCCTCCGCCTGGCCCAGGCCCTGGACTGCGAGGCACAGGTGCAGCACCTGCTGGTGGTCCGGGCCTCCGATGGGGCGGGCGGACACTTCGCCCTCGCCTCCGTCACGGTGGAGGTCAAGGACGTCAATGACAACCTCCCCTACTTCCCCATCGAGGTGATGAGCGCCAGCCTGCGGGAGAACCAGCCGCCGGGGAGCCTGGTCACCACCGTGCACGCGGTGGACACGGACGTGGGCGTCTTTGGGGAGCTGCGCTACGCCCTACTGCCGACAGAGGGCTCGGAGGCCTTCCGCCTCAACGGCACCTCGGGGCAGCTGCACGCACGCCTCCCCTTCGACTACGAGCGCACCAAGGCTGTCCAGCTGCTGGTGCAGGCCACGGATGCCGGCAACAACTCGGCCTCAGCCACCGTGCGTGTCCTGGTGACTGGGGAGGATGAGTACGAGCCGGTCTTCCTCAGCCCAGTGTTCAGCTTTGAAGTTCCCGAGGGGGCCCGTCGGGGGCAGAGCATCGGGCACATGCTGGCCACGGATGAGGATGAGGGGCCGGACGGGGTGGTGCTCTACACCCTGACCAAGCCGTCCCCCTTCTTCGGGATCAACAAGACGAGCGGCGCCCTCTATCTGCGCATGGACAGCCAGGCGCCACCCGTGGGCCCCTCCACACGGGAGCCACGGGAGATGGTGCTGGAGGTGCAGGCCCACAGCCCGCTGCCTGCCTCGCGCACCGCCTCTGCCCGGGTCACCCTCGACGTGACGCACACCTCGTTTGGCCTGGTGCCCGAGCTGAACCTGCTGCTGGTCGTGGCCGTGGCCGCCTCGCTCGGGGTGGTGGTGGTGCTGGCAGCCGTGGCCATAGTGCTGGCCCTCGTCCGCTCCCGCCAGCGCCACGGCCAGAAGCAGGCCGACCTGGCCCACGTGCAGCCGAGCGGCTCCTTGCAAAAGCTGGGCCACGCCGAGCCGGTCCTGCCGGGGGCCAGCTGCCTCTACCACGAGGCCCTGCCCGGCTACGGCACGGAGCCGCCCGGGCCCTACGCCACCAGGGGCGGCTCGCTGGACCCCTCTCACTCGAGCGGGCGCGGCTCGGCCGAGGCGGCCGAAGATGACGAGATCCGCATGATCAATGAGTGCCCCCGCATGCCCAGCCTGGCCTCCTCCCTGCAGGAGCACCTGTCCGCCCGCGGGCCAGACTCGGGCATCCAGACCGACGCCGACCGGCTCTCCGAGGTCTCCTGCGAGCCCACCGCCCTGGACGGCTCCCACTGGTTCAAGAACAGGAAGGGGCCGGCCTTGCTGCTCCCCGGGCAGCCCCCACAGCTCTACCGGGACGACGCGGGCGGCGGCGGCGCAGCGTTCCTGGGCGCCGGCTGCGGCCTCAGTGTCTCGTCCACCAAAGACTACACCTTCCCCGAGGACGGGAAGCCCTGCGTGGATGGCTCCCTCACCGCCATCGTGGCGAGCGATGAGGAGCTCCGCGGCAGCTACAACTGGGATTACCTGCTCAACTGGTGCCCCCAGTTCCAGCCGCTGGCCAGTGTCTTCACGGAGATCGCGCGCCTGAAGGATGAGAGCTCTCTGCGCAGGCCGTTCCCCGCCAAGCCCAAGCCCCGGATAGACCCGCCGCCACTCATCACCTCCGTGGCCCACCCCGGGGCCAAGTCCGTGCCCCCCAAGCCGGCCGTGGGCCGGGCCTTCCCACACCTGTCCTCCCTCAGACGGTCCCCCATCAGTCACGAAGGCTCGCTCTCATCAGCCGCCATGTCGCCCAGCTTCTCGCCCTCCCTGTCTCCTCTGGCTGCTCGCTCGCCTGTGGTGTCCCCCTTCGGGGTCTCCCAGGGGCCTTCCGCTTCCTCCCTAAGCGCCGAGCACTCCTTGGGGAACTCGGAGGAGGCAGAGCTCCGCATCTAGCGGGGCCGGCCGGCTCTGCATCCTGGCGGGGCAGGTGGCTGGCTGAGCGCCGAGTGCACGCACGCACGCACGCCCGCAGTGGCTGGAGGGCCTCGATCAGCAGCCCCACCCCCACCGGGGACTGTCGTCATGGCATGGCATGGCGGCTGCCCGGTGGGTCACCAGGAGCACTTCCACACGCCCCCTCGCTGCGAAGGGATCCCGCGAGGTGCGGCTCAAGAGCGCGACGGGCCGCCTGTCCTCAGACTGCTGCTCGGCTTGGCCGCGAAAGGAAAGGGGCTGCGGGCCAGGCTGGCCAGCAGCAACGAACCCCCCCGCAGCCACCATCGCTTCCCCCCCCACCCGCAGTAGATGGACACCACCTGCCACCGGCCCCCCCCCCCCTGCGGCCCCCGCCCCCCCCGCACACACGATTGATCACAGGTCATGCTTTCCCGCCCTCGCCTGGCGGGGTCTTTGTGGGGAGGGCCCAGCCTTGCCCTGGCCTGGCCCACACTAAGCCACGGGGGCGCAAGTGCGGTGGGGCAAGTGGCTGGGCCCGGCCCACAGAGAACGGCCCAGCAAGCGCAGGTCGACCGACCACAAGCAGCTGCCCCCCCCCGCCCCCATAGTGGAGAAGCAGCGGAGGAGGAGTGCCAAAGCCACGGCTCCGTGCGGGACACGCGTGGCTCCCGCCCTGAGGCGCGCCTGGCCTCCCCCCCTGCGCACCTCGTGCACACCCCTCCCCCCCGCTCACTGCACAGACACTGCTCCGACCTCTGCACATGCTCTGGGGTGGGCCTGCTCTCCTGCCCATGGGCACATGCAGGCAGGGTGCCTGTCCTCACTCTGCTCCCTTGCACAGACGCTGTTGCGTGTGCCAGGAACGGGAGCGCCCTGGCCCGGGGGCGGCGACGGGGGGCGGCCGCTCCTCCATGCTGGAGTTCGCCCGCGCTGGGGCCGCTGCCTGGCAGCCTTGCCTCGGGGGAGCCCCAGGGCTGCAGCATGCCGCAGGCAAGAGCGGGGGTGGGGGGCCGTGGTCGCTCTAGCAATAATGCAGTGCCCCCCTCCCCCTCCGGGAGTGAGAAGACGCGCCAGGTTGGGCACGGAAAAATCCAGCTCCCGTTCCAGGTCGGAGTTTCGCTCCCGGAGCCCTGCATCCGGAAAGCCAGCAAGTGCCGAGGGCGCCCTGCGGCTCCAGGGCCCGGCTCCGACGAGCGGAGTGTACGAGTGGGTCTTGGGCTCAAGACGGGCGGGCGCCGCGGCCCGGGGAAGCGGTGGCCCCGCCGTGCACCTGGCCCGAGGCCCCCGCGGCTGCGCCCCCGCGCCCCGAGGTGCAGCTGCAGGAGCGCCTGCCACGCAGCAGCGGGAAGCGCGAGCGGCGCGCCTGGAGCGGCGGCTGCGCGACTGAAGGGGAACCGGCTGGGGGAGCGCTGCTCGCGTAGCTTCCCAGAAGGCGCCGGCGAGCTGGCCGGTGCGCCCCCCCCCCCCGGGAGCCGCGCGCACTCACGCAGGGCGCCAGCCGGTGGAGCGGACGCTGGCTGTGCCGGCGGGGGCGGAGGCCCGGTGTCCCCCGCGAGGCGCCCCCCGCCTCCCCCCACCTTTGCCCGCTTCCGAGTCGACTCCACGCAGGTTCCGCTCCTGCCCACCCGGGCCCCGTTATTTATTGCCTGTCCGTTTCCAGGGTGTGTACTTTCTCTGTATCCGGAGCGCAGCATGTGACTTGGGTGCTGCCGCCTGGCCGCCCCTTTCGGGGGCCAGAGCCCAAGTGCCAATTTTTTAAAGCAATGCCTTAATAAACCACTCGGCGTTTGTAACGGCTGGGCCTGCTCCGTGCCGCCGTGGCGATCGGGCGCGTCCGCAGCTTTCGGGCGGGCGGGGGGGGGGACTGGGCGGAAGAGGACGCGCGGCCGGCCCGGGAACGGGAACGGGCGACGGCCTGGGGAGCGGCGTGCCTCCCGCTGGCCGCCGGGGGGCCGGGGCGGCGGCGACGAGGCCTGGCGCGCATGTTGGTGTTCGACGGGGAAGCAGGGACGGCGCCGCGCGCCTCCCGTCGCCCGCTCGGCGGCGGCTCCGCGCTGGACCGGCCGGGGCGCCCCCGCTTGGCGAGTCAGGCTGATCCCAGGCTGCGCCCCCGCGTCCCTCCGGCTGAACCCCCGGTGCGGGAGCGGGACCCGGCGGCGGCGGCGGGGTGCAGGTGCACCCCGAACCGCACCTGAGGCAGCCTCAGGGTCCCGCCGCTTCTGTCAAGTGCCAGCCCTGCCGCCGTCCCGGCTCTGGAAGGGACGTGGGAAGGCCCGCGATACCCGAGCGCCCCCCCCCCCACTTCTGTGCCTTGTTCCCTCGCTCGAACTTGCTGCCCGGGCCCTGCCGGCCACTCCTTGTTCCCACTGGTCGCGACCACGCCATTCTCTGGCTTCCATCTTCCTGAGCCGTGCCTCAGCTGGCCCAGAGTCGGGCTCAGGTGAGGCTTTGCTGGCAGCCCCCCCATGTTCTCCCCCCAGCAGCCCATGTGAAGCGCCAAGCCCCAGTGGCCCCTCACAGCCATGGAGTCTCCATCTTGTATGGATGCACTTGGGTTCTTGTCCCTATCAAATCTCATTCTGTTGCTTCCAGCCCGGTGTTCACGTTTCTCAAGATCGCCCTGGATCGTCATTCTGTCTTTTAGGGTGTGTGCTTTTCCACCCAGTTTTATATCATCTGCAAATCTGATTATCTTTCCTTGTACTTCCCCACCCAAGTCATCCATAAAGATGTTGAGGAGCACTGGGCCCAGGACTGAGCCCTGTGGCGCCCCACTAGCTGCCTCCCTCCGGTCTGAGAAGGTGTTGCTAAGGAGCTCTTTGTGTCCCGTTCAGCAGCCAATGCTGGAGCCATCTAACAGTTTTTCTGTCTAGTTCACCTTTTTATAGTTTGCTTATCAGGATGTCGTGAGGCACAATGTCAACAGCTTTACTAAAGTCGAGGTAGATTCTGTCCACAGGGTTTCCACTGTCCATATGGAAGGTTACCTAGTCAGAGAGAGAGAGAGATTACATTAGTCTGACAGTATTTGTTCTTGATAAATCCATGTTGACTTCTATTAATCACTGTTTGACTGAAAAAGGGACATAGGGACAAACCCCGACCCCCCGGCCAAACTCCACCACTGTCCACTGGCTCCTGGAGAGCTCGGCTGCTTGGCTCCCGGAGTCCCTGGACCAGCCGGGCAGCTTCCTCTCACCTGCTCAGGCAGGAGCCAGGAAGCAGAGCAACCAGTGCACCAAGCCCAGCACGGCCACTGGAGGCGGACGGGTGGCTCGGAGTAGGCGGCAAGCGGCAGCGCCCGCCAGCAGGGCCAAGGAGCATCCTGCCACTGCCCCGGGGCCAGGCACACATCCTGGGGAGGGCTCACCGCCCGCCCGGCAGAGAGGGGGCAAAGGCTGCTCCGCGGCAGGACCGAGGCCGGCATGGCTGCTATGAGCACGCTCGCTGGCAGCCCACACACGGAGGGCAGGGGGTGCGGCAGGGGCCTCGGGCGTATCTCTGGCAGCGGAGAGGAAGGGAGGGGCGCAGCCTCCCGGTGACTGCCAGGGGCCCCCCAGGCCACCCCTCCCTCCTGCTCCCGCAGCTTCTGTCCTTGCGGCTGCCAACAGCACAGCGTGGCTGATGGGCTAGCAAGTCTGCCCACCTGCCCCGGCTTCCACGCCTTCCGGGAGAGCACCTGCCCCCCTGTGCCTTGGATGGCTGCTGCCCGCGCCTTCTGGGGCCTGCAGGGAGGAGGCCAGCGTATAGGGGGAAGCTCGCGGGGGGCCAGGCCCAGAGCTTGGCTGGGGCAGCGCCGCCCGCTGTGCTTTCTTGTGGGCAAGAGCAGCCCGTCTTGGGCCGCATCTGCTGCAGGGGTGGGCAGGGAGGAGGGAAGGTGCTCGCCTCTGCAGCACTCACACACGGGGGGGGGGGGGGGGGGGGGGCGGCCACCTGGCGTCCGAGAGGAGGAAGCCAGCAGCACAGTGCCCGTCCCTTCCCTCCAAGGCGGGAGCTTCGTGTGAAGCTGGAAAGGAGCAGGGGAAGAGCAGGGCACGTTGACTGGCAAAGGTACAATGCGGGAGCTGCCAGGCAATCTCGATGAGCAGCCACAGATCCGCAGCAGGGCTCTGTGCGCCTTGAACCGCCGCCATTTCATTGGTGAGAACTACCCAGGTAAACCCTCTGCAGAGTCCAAACCTACAAAGGCGCTGCCGGGCAGAAGTGCAGAACCAACCACATGTTTCTAGAACATATACAGAGTGTTTGATGGGCTTCTAAACACACACACAGGAACAGAGCAGATGATGAGCGAATGGTTGGTGCGCAAAGTGAGGGATCTGCAGGGGACAGGAGATCATGGTACAGCCAATATCCGTGCTGTATCAGCATGACAATCAGGAAGGCACATGAATCATTAGAGGTCTTGGGTGTGTGTTTTGGGGCAGGCGATTTCAAAAGAAAGGAAAAGCTAGTCAGGGCTGTTCTCAGCAACTGACTGCTCCAGCAACAGGCAGTCCCTGCCCACACCCGAGTCCCGAAAGAATCACAGACTAGGACAGCTGGAAGGGGCCATGGAGGCCACCGGGTCCAACCCCTGCTGTTGCAGGACACCAATTACACCATCCCACTCCGCGGGCGGTCCAGTTTCTGTTGGGAGACAAATTCTGTTACTCCAAGTTTCTAACTCAACCCTGACTGCTCTTTAGAAGGCCAGATCCTGAAGATGAAACTCAAATATTTTGGCCACCTAATGAGAAGGGAGGACTCTCTGGAGAAGAGCCTGATGCTGGGAACAATAGATGGCAAAAGAAGAAGGGGACAGCAGAGGATGAGGTGGCTGGATGGGGTCACTGAAGCAGTTGGTGTGAGCTTAAGTGGACTCTGGGGGATGGTGGAGGACAGGAAGGCCTGGAGGAATGTTGTCCATGGGGTCACAATGGGTCGGGCATGACTTCGCAAATAACAACATTGCTGACAACTTTCTCCTATAGAAAGCAGAGGAAGGAACTAGAGGAACGGCCATCCTTGACCTGATTTCTAACCAACAGAGACAGAGTGGCAGTTATGGGAGCTGTGGGGGAAAGTGACCTTGCCATGCATGAATCCTTGATGCTGGAGGAAGCAAAAGCGAAGTGTAGTGAAAACACGTACCCTGGTTTTTAGGAAGGACAGTTCTAAGAAACTCAGAACACTGATAGGTGATGTGCCATAGCAAGTGTCTCTAATGAGAAAAGGAGTCCAAAATGGGTGGGAAATTTTTAAAGAGGGAATTCTAAAGGAACAGACAGTCCCGACAAGGGAAAAGGCCAGAGGACAGCAGAAGGAGCCCTCTTCATCGGATCGCGACTTCCCGTGACCTAGGCGGCTGCGGGGGGGGGGGCGGGGGGACGTGCTGTCCTACACGGGAGGCGTTCAGGATGCAACTGGGCGGCCATCGGAGAAGGACGCCTTAACCGGAGTCCTGCACCGAGCCAGGGGTGGCGCCGGGGGCCCCTGGGGCCCTTCCCACTCCACCGTCCCACGATTCCACCCAGCGGCAGGCGACTGGGCGGGAAGCGAGCAGCCTCTGCCGGGGCTCCGCTCGGCCCGCTTCCCCTCTTGCCCCGCCCAGAACGGGTGCTCCTCGGTCGGATGAGGCGCGGTGCCCAGCGCGGGGGCGGCCGCGATCCCGGCGGCCGTGCGCGCTCTGCCGGCCAGGGGGCCTTCGCGGGGGCCCCCCGGCCGTGGGGCAGACGACCCGGCCCGGCCCATGGCGCCCCGGGGCAAGGCGCAGGGGAAGGCGGGCGGGCAGCGCCGCCGCGGCGGTCATGTGACCTGCCGAGCACGCCTTCCGCGGCGGCGGTCATGTGACTGCCGCCCACCTCACTCAGCGCGGCTCCTGCCGGGGCGAGCGAGCGCCGCGATGCAGCTCCGGTACGGCGGGCAGGCCCGGGGGGCGGGAGCGCGGGCAGCGGCGCCCCTCCCGGTCTGACCCTTCTCCCCCCTCCTCCCCCAGGTGCCTGCTGGCCGCCCTCCTCTGCGCCGTGCGCCCCGCCACCGCCGGGTGGGCTCCCGAGCCGGATCAGCTCTTCCGGTAAGCGAGATCCAGCGCGGCGAACGGGTGGGCGGACGCCCCGGAGCCGCGGCCTCTCCCTCCTGCAGGGAAAGAACGGGGCGGCTCCACGCGGGACCCCTGGCGGAGGCGCCTCGGAGCGCCGGGCGGGCCGCCGGGGCAGGGCGGCCTCCTCCCCCCGCCCTCCCCACGGCATCGCCGGCGCTCTCGGCCCTGGAGGCTCGCCCGGAACAGGTGCACGCGGGGCCGCGCTCTGGGCAGAAGGCAGCCGGGCTGCCAGTCGGAGGACTCGCCGCCGCCCCGCGCAGCTGCGGGCGCGGAGCCCAGCGTCCTCCTGTGCCTTCCGTGCTGGCCAGCGCGGGGGTCCCCCTAAGGACCAGAGGGGCGGCCCCCGGCCGGAAGCGCGGGGTGGCGTTAGCCAGGCTGCCCGGCCCTGTTGCGGGGAGCCGGGCGCCGAGCCAGCGGTCCGCGTGGGCCGTCCAGGCGGCTCCGTGCCCGTGGCCCCTGCGCTGTCCGGGCCCCACGTCTCTCCTGTAGGACCCCCGCCGGCTGGAGCGATGCGGGCCGCCTCGCCCCCTCCGAGACGCTCAGCCTGACGTTTGCCCTGCGGCAGCGGAACGTGCAGCGCCTGGCCAGGCTGGTGCAGCAGGTCTCCAGCCCGGACTCCGCGAAGTACGGTAGGTCGCTTCGGCCTCGGTCTCCTTCTGGAGGAGTCGCAGCCCCACCTGGCAGGCGTCGCGCCGTGGGTCGTGGGCGTGGAGGAAGAGGCCGCCTGTCCTGGCAGCACCTCTTGAAGCGGCGGCGCTCGCAGCGGGGCTGGCCGGGGCAGAGCACCCGCCAGTGCTGGCCTGCCCTGGCTCCGGCTCCGGCTCTTCCCGCGCTTCTGCACCGTTTGAGGCTGAGCCTGAAGGGACGCTTGGCTTCCGGCGGAACACTTGTGGCTGCCCGAGCATTGTGAGCCCCGGCCTGGAACAGCTGCCCCCAGGAAGCGCATGCCGCCCTCGCGGGGGGCAGAGGCTCTTCCTGCAGGCAGCGTTCACCCGTGCTGCTTCTGTGCAGGAGGCTTCCCTCTCTGGAGTATCACCTGTCAGCTTTGCTGGACTTTGACCCACAGGGCCACACCTCCTCCAGGACGCCCGTCCCCATCTTCTCCGTGCGGTTTCTATCCAGAGACGACTGCATCCCATCGGATGCACCTCGCTTCTCCTCCGCCACCAGGCAGGCCGGCTCCTTCAGTGGCCTCAGGCTTCTGGCACTGGCACAGAAACACCCAAGCAGAAAGTCCCCCTCCAGCAGTGTGCCTCTGCCGTTCTGGCACATCGTCCTCCCCAGCCGGTTACCATGGCTTACCCTAACCTGGTTTCTACTTCCTTCCCTCCACACCTGGGGAATTCTGGAACTTCCTCCGTTAGGGATTATGTGATGCAAATTGGATGCTTCCCGGTTCCTCTTGGCTTTCTCTTGGTGTGGTTGAAAAGCGACTGCTTCCTCTTTTATGTTAGGTGCCAGCAGTCTGGTTTCATTTTGGTTCAACAGGAGGGCATTTCTCTTGTTCAGATCTGGCTCCCCCCAAAATGTTCCCCAGTCCCTAAGAAATGTGAAGCTCCACTACTGCCTCATCCGCGTGCTGGATGCCCAGCTGCGCCTGCAGGCTGACCTGGCAGCATTTCGAGCTCTCCAGTTTGTGGCATCATCTTGTGCAGCGTCCTTCTCTGGTTCTCAGTCATCCAGCTCAGTTATCATATTAATGCCTTGGCTGAGTTAATTGAGAAGCTCTGTTTTGCTTTGAGCTGCTTCAAACTTGCTTCTGGTGAATTCACATCTGGATCAGGTTTGCTCAGTTCATCGTCTGTTTTTCGCAGTGCTTCAGCTGGCAGGGCTCCGCTGTGGCCTGTTTGCTTTTCAGCCTCCCAATGGCCTCAGCCATTTTGCTCCTGACCTTGAACTGCAGTGTGTTCTTCCTGGATCTTGGTACCCAAATTTTGCAGACCACATCTAGCAGAGCTTCCTTAAAAAGGAAGACTCTTGTTTTCTGATAAACTAAGCAAACCGAGCAGAGTCGAAATTAGCGTTACTTCCACTTTCTGAAGAAAAGCATTTAGAATTTCAGCGGGGAGAGACTGTAATTTAGGGGCTTTCCTGGAGAACAGACTGACAGGTGCAGACAGGCCCCAGGACTGGGCCGAACTGCACGAGGCCTGTCCATTTCCCCGCTTGGCGGCAACGCTCCCTGGAGGGTCATGGCCCAGCAATGCCACCCGAAAAGTGGGAAGAGGGAGGACACGTCGACGCACCGCAAAGCCTGGAATGACCGTGGCGAGCGCTGCCTGAGAACAGGTCTCTGCTCTGCTGTGCTTCCTGCCCTGCAGGACAGTTCCTGTCGCTGGCGGATGTGCAGGCCCTGGTCGCCCCCTCCCCACTGACGCTGGGCACTGTGCAGAAATGGCTGGACCGTCACGGCGTCTGGGACTGCAGGGCAGTGAGCACCATGGACTTCTTGCAGTGCCAGCTGCCAGCTGGGTGAGTTGGAAGGAAGGGGGGGGGCATGATCTTTGGCTAGGAACTGATGCTCTGCAAGGGGAGGGTGCCACGACCCGCCAGCTGAGCGCCTGCCCCTTCTGTGCAGCACGGCAGAGCGACTGCTTCCGGGTGCCCAGTTCCATCGCTATAGGAATGGCACGCTCAGCAGCGTGAGGTCCCCATCTCCCTACACCTTAAGTGAGGAGCTGCAGGAACACGTTGATTTTGGTATGCACGACTTTTGAAGATGGGAGAAGGGGGGGCAGTGGGGTACCCAGGCTGAGCCTGGAGTCCCCTGTATGCTCACACCCTGCAGTCCAGGTCTGCCGGGGGGCTTGGGAGGGTCCTCACTGGAACTCCCCAGATGCCCTCCCTGTTCAGGGGAGGCCTGTGGGGGGAGCTGCCTTTTCTGCGCCCCCCCATGCCAGCTGCAAGGCCACGGATCAACGGGGGAGGTGCTTCTGTGAGGCTTTCCCAGCCTCTCCCAGCCTGCTCCGTGCTGCTGGACGTTAAACCGAGCGGTGTTTGCGGTAGTTCCATGGGTGGCCCCCTTCTCCCTGCCCCCCCTGCAATCACAACCCCCCTTTCATCTTCCCCAATTCTCAGTGGGGGGCCTTCACCGGTTCCCAGCCGAGAGGAAGGTGGTGAGTCGGGCCTGGGCCTCAGGGCGGATGTGGCCACGGCGTGCCACGCGTTCCACTTTCCACTTGGGCGTGACTCCGGCTGTGATCCGCCAGCGCTACAACCTGACCGACGGAGATGTGGGCACCTTCCAGAACAGCAGCCAGGCCTGTGCACAGGTAAGGGCCCGCGGTTCTGCCTGCCTGCAGGTGTCCCTTTGCCCAAGGGCTTTGGGCGGTAGTTGCCTGCCAGCTGAGCCCGGCTCCTCAGACGGCCTTGAAGGTGCAGTGGTGCATCCGGTGCCAGCAGTGAGTGAGCCAAAGCACTGCCATGCGGGCAGCGGGCCCACAGCACCTCTTCTTCCCCAGTTCCTGGAGCAGTACTTCCACCAGGCGGACCTGTCAGAATTCATGCATCTGTTTGGGGGAGGCTTCCCGCACCGCTGCAGTGTCGACCGGGTCGTGGGCCGCCAGGGCCAGGGCAAGGCCGGCCTGGAGGCCAGCCTGGACGTGGAGTACCTGATGAGCACGGGTGCCAACATCTCCACCTGGGTTTTCAGCACTGCAGGTATGGCGCGCCTGGCTCTCCCTCTCCATGGCGGGGTGCGGGGGAGAGCCGTCCGACCTCTTGCCCATCCCAGCATGGTGGGGACTGGCACCTGCCCCCTGCCTGCCCCCGGCTCTTTGCGGGCAGGTGTTTCAGGGTGGCTGGGTGGAGCTGTCTGGCCTCTAGGGCTGAAAGCAGCTGGGATCCCAGTGCCAGCTGCCGGTGGGGGGGGCAGCACTGGTGAGCGGCGGCCCCTTGCGTGTGGCCTTTCCGGAGGCATTGGACCAGCCCATGCAGGAGTGGGTCAGTGGTGGGGTTCCTCTGATGATGCCCTGGAATGTGGGGGGTCAGGGCTTCTCCAGGGCTTCTCTGGGGACGCAAACCAGATGCACCCTGCTGTTCTCACGGTCCGGTGGGCACGCCGGTGCAGGCCGGGAGCAGGATGCTGGCTCTTTTCTGTACCATCTGATCACCAAAGCCCTCTGGGCAGGTGGCAAGACCTCTGCCATAGCATAGCACATCAGAGCACTGCAGCGCCATAGCCTAGAATCCAATGCAACATGTAAAACGGTATTTCAGACAAAACCTGAGCAGCCGCAAGACACACCAGCTCCCCTCGCGTGGCAGTGTTCCCCGAACCGCAGCTCCGCTCCACTCCAACCCACTCTTCATCTTCACTATCACCACTACATTGGCTGGCATGTGTGGGGTGGGCCTGGAGTGAGTGTGGGCCCCAAGGCTGGGCCGAGGGGGGGGGGAGGGCAAGTCGCCCCCCTGCCCCTGCCCCTGCCCAAGGCCCTGTGCCTGCCGCTGCCAGGGAGGCACGAGAGCCAGGAGCCATTCCTGCAGTGGCTGCTGCTGCTGAGCAACATGTCCGCCCTGCCCTGGGTGCATTCCGTGAGTTACGGCGACGACGAGGACAGCCTGTCCCGAGCGTACCTGGAACGTGTGAACGTGGAGTTCATGAAGGCGGCTGCCCGGGGCCTCAGCATCCTGTTTGCCTCAGGTGTGTGTGTGGGGGGGGGCGCAGGGCACGCCAGATCAGCAGCGTCGTGCAGCCCTTTAGCTCGCGGGCTGGTCCCCAGGCTCAGCCCGGCACCCATGCCCCCGGGTCACCCAACATCCCTCAGGCCTCCTCCCGCCTCAACCATGGGGCAGTTGCCTGCACGGAGTGGGGGGGCGGGTGGGTGGGCGGCCCCCCCCCGGCCTCTCCTGCCCGGCCTCTCCTCCCCGGCCTCTCGGCGGCACATGGGGTTTCCTGGGTTGTGCCCCCCTGGGAGATGGGCCTGGCCACCTCCCTTGTGGGGCGCGCTCGGGTGTCACTCCTCCGCTGTCACAGGTGATGCTGGAGCGGCAGTTCCGGCTCCTTGGGGAGTGCTTACTCCCGGGGTGGCGGAGCCCCTTTAGGCTGTGGCTGAGCGGTCTGAGCTGTTCCATGTAATGCATGCGAGCTCGTTGGCTACCCTTTACGGGAACCCTATTACTGTGACAGACTCCTGTCCGCCTTTCTGAAGTGGGTTTGCAATGCGGCTTCCAGAACACATAATTTAAAATGCTCTCAATGAAAGAGTGAAGCCGTGGAAAGTCACAGCAGCAGGAAAACCAGGGCGGTGCTGGCGAAAAGCCCGGGCCATGCATGTGGGTTCTGGACAGAGTGGGACTTGCAGGGAGAAAGGGGGCAAGCAGCGAGTTCCTGTGACCGGGGCTGGGTCTGCTTTCGATTTCTGCAGGTGACTTGGGGGCAGGGTGCCGGACTACCTCTGAAGGCAAGCACGTCTTCCGCCCCAGTTTTCCTGCCTCCAGGTGAATGGAAGGGATGGGCAGGGGTTTCCCAGCATTCTCTGCTTCTGCCATGTGAGGTCAGGGGTGGGTGTGTCTGCCCCATGGGGCAGTCGCCCCGATGACAACGGGGAGTCGACCATCTGCAGGAATGGCCCTTCCTGATCCAAGCCCTCCTTTGGGTCTTGCTGGACTGAGTTGGAATTGGTTAACCTCGGGGTTTCCCAGATGCCAAATTCTGTAGCAGAGACTAGATCTCTGCTGTACGGTGCAGTGAGCTGGTCGGAAGGCTGGACTGGGCACCCGGGAGCCCCGGCTTCCCACCCTTGCCCGGCTACCATACTCCCTCTGTGCCTTCGGGAGGGTCAGCCCCCCCAGCCTCACAGGGCTGCTGCCGAGCGGCGCTGCGAGGCACCGTGGGCGCAGGAGAGGAAGAGGCGGGACGCAGATGCGGAGCGGCAGCAGCCATAGGACCCCTGCCTTGGGGCTCGGAGGCCCTGTGTGGAAAGGCAGCTAAGTCCAGGCTGGGTGGGCTCGGGGGGCCGCCTGGAGGCTTCTGCTGTGCGAGGACCGTTCCAGGAGTCTGGTGAGGCCCCTGCCTGCCTCCTCGCCGCCCCCCGGGAGGACAGCGATGGTCGTGCGTTCCATTGTGGACGCCCATGATGGAATGCTCTGTCCTTCGCCCACAGCCCCTATGTGACCACTGTGGGTGGGACATCCTTCCGGGATCCCTTCCTGGTGAGCGCTGAAGTCTCGGACTACATCAGTGGTGGAGGGTTCAGCAATGTTTTCCCCATGCCCAGTTACCAGGTATGTCCGGGGCCTTCTGTGGGGTGGCTTCTGGTCAGCTCACCTTTCCAGCCAGCCTCCTGCTTCTGCCACCGCTTGTGCTTTGGGTGACCTGTGGACCCTGTTGCCATGCGGCTTTCGGAGAGCCTTGCGCAGCAGGTGCCTCCGCGTGATCGGCACGGATAGCTGAGCGGGGAATGGAAACATGCCAGCACAGGCCCTGGGAAAAGCCGCATTCCCTTGCTTTAAAGGATGGCAGATGCCCTTCCTGCCTTCACTTGCAATGGAATCGGCCGGCCGGCCAGCCCGCCAGCCCCGTGGGTTCACACTCCATGCCGGATGTGCATGCAGGCCTCCGTGCTCGCCCTGCCGGGGGCTTGCTGCCCTGGTGCCCCCCTCCAGGCTGCCTGCTCTGGCGGTCCCTCTGGGCCACGCGGTCCCCTGAGAACCGGGCAGGCGTCCTGCCGCGACTCCCCCAGGCACCGGCCGTGGCCTCCTCCCTGCCTGCAGAGCCATGCTTCTTTGCTGCCCTCCTGCCCCAGAACCTCCTCAACCGCCCCCTCGCCCATCCCCCAAGCCAGTCCCTCGCTGGCGCGGATGCCCCCCAGCTGGGCCGACACACCCCGGGCACCAGGGCTTGTGCGGGGGGTGGACTCGCGGCTGGACCCCAGGGTGCTTGCATTGGGAGCATTGGGAGACTCGGCCTCTGCGGACTGGGAGCAGGATGCTAGGGGAGGGGGCCTGCCTGCTGGCAGGGATGGAGCAGGACGAGCCTCTGTGAGCTCCGCGGGGGGCGCTGAGCGGGCCCCCCTGGGCTGACCCAGCACCACCTCTCCTCTCGCTTGCCCCCGGGCCAGGCGGCTGCCGTGAAGCGGTACCTGAGCGTGGCCCCCCGGCTGCCGCCCTCCACGTACTACAACAGCACCGGCAGGGCGTACCCTGACCTGGCCGCGCTCTCGGACAACTACTGGGTGGTGACCAACCGCATCCCGGTGCCCTGGGTCTCCGGCACCTCGGTGAGTCTGCCGCCCTGCGGGCCACATGCGCCAGTCCCCGCCTGGCAGGCTGGCCGATCGGCCCGGGCTCACCCCGCCGTGTTCCCTCTGCAGGCCTCGACGCCCGTGGTGGCAGGCCTCATAGCGCTGATCAACGACCAGCGGCTCCGGCGCGGGCGCCCCCCCCCTGGGCTTCCTCAACCCCGCTCTTTACCAGCTGCAGGGCCAGGGCAATAGCACGGCCTTCTACGATGTGAGTGCCCGGCTGCGGGGGGCGGGTGGAGGGCGGCCGGGGCCAGGCCAGGCCAGGCCAGGCCAGGCCCCGCAGCGCCCGGCCCCTTTCCCTTCCAGTGTGCCTGGGTGGCCGGGCGACGCAGCTCCTGTGGGCAGGCATTGCCACACAGCCTCCTTCATCCGCGCCGCGCTCCCCTGCGCTCTCCACGGAGGGGCGCATGCCACTAGAGAGCTGGCTTTGCAGGGACTCTCCAGGGCATCACCTCTCGCACTCTCTCCCCCCAGGTGACCCAAGGATGCCACCTGTCCTGCCTGGATGCCACCGTGGAGGGCCAGGGCTTCTGTGCCGCGCCTTCCTGGGACCCGGTCACCGGCTGGGGGACGCCCAACTTCCCGGAGCTGCTGCGTGCTATGCTGGGCTAGTGGCCAGGAGGGGCCGAGCCCTTCTGTCGCGGCCCGTGCCTCTGGCCCCCGCCTTGGCCGCTGCAGGAGGGGCTTGCTTGTGGGGGGACGTGACCGAGGAGCGCATGCTGCACCTCGTGGGTGGGAGCGCAGGGGCTGGCGGCTGTCTCTGGTGGGTGTCCAGGGCGAGCGAGGCCTCTCGCCGGTCGTGGCAGGCCCTCCAGCCTGCCTTCCAGCCAAGAGAGTGGCTGCTGGGCGCATGACACTCACAGCTGCTTCCTCTGTGACAGGAGTGGTGGGAAGGGTCCCCGCGTGCCTACCTGCCCTGGAGCCACTAGCCTTCCCCGCATCCCAGGAGCAGGCAGGCACCCCGCCTGTCTCGTGCCCGAGACCTTCCGGCAGGCGGGAGGGGCCCTGCGGCAGGCCGGCTGCTCGGCGTTCCCAGGAAACCCCCGCAGCACTCGGAGGCGGGTCCTCAGCAGCCGGTGGGCACTCCCCGTTCTCCGTGGGTGTGCAAGGGCAGATCTAGCAGCCCCTCTGCCAGCCGGACTGGATAGTCCGGCCAGTGGAGAGGCACAGGGGACCCTGGACTCACGCCTGAGCTGGTGCCTGATGCGGCCTGTGCCCCCCCAGCGCCAGGGCGTGGGGAGGGCGGCTTCTGCCAACGCGCCGTTTGTGGAGGTGACAGGAACGCCCACCGTGGGCTGCTCTTGGCCTGCCCCACCATCACCCGCTCTCCGCAGCCTGCCAGAGACAGCCATGCCCGCGGCTCAGCTTCAAGGCTGTGCACGGACGCGGATGTGCCCAAAGGAAGCCTTCCTTTCAGATGTCGGGCTGTGACTTCTCAGGTTATGCAGGATAGGAGGGGAGAGGGTTGTGGGACAGAAAAGGCTGCGGGGGTGGCTTACCCCTCAGCAGGACTGCCCTGGGTGCTGATGGCAGACCTCTGCCCCTTCAGCCTTTCCAGCTACTTGGCAGGCAGAAGTTCAACAGCGGCAGCCGGAGAGGGTGACATCTGCCTACCAAGGGCCTTCTGAATTTGGCGAGGCCTCTGCCAAGGCAAAGGCACTTTAGCGGCTCCGAGTCTGCGCCGAGAGTCAGTCTGCATCTGGTTGCTCTAACTGAGAGCCAAGCCGTGGCTGCTTAGGGGATCGGGACTTGGGGGAATGTTGAAATGCAAACGGGTTTTCAGGAAAATGAAAAAAAGCAATGTGTATCCGCTGTATGATTGGAAAAGTCTGCTCTGCCTCTTTAAATGCGGTGAAAAAACTCTCTTTGTCAGTAAATCCTTCTGCGACGCAGCCTGCCGGGGTCCACCAAGCCAGGGGCGGGTGACATGGCGGAGGCCAAACTCTGCAAGCAGCTCAGCTGCCTCGAGCACAGGGCAACCGGGAGCAGGCGGCACGCAGCTGCCAAGCGGGGCCAAGCACCCTCACTCCCAGTATAAGCCAATGGGACAAGCTGGCAGTGACTGGCTGGGAAAGGGATGGGGGGCTGTGGCGGGTTTCGGCTGTGTGGCTGGAGTGAAACAGGCAAACGCCATGTGGGCACCACTGGGAGAGCCATCAAAACTGAAACGGCCAGGCTGCAGTCCCCTTCCCCCAGTGTGAGCGCTGTGCATGGCCCTCCACCCAAGCCCTGCATAGCTCCCAGTGGTGCATGAAAGGGAGCGGTGCCCTTCAGAGTGGATAAAAATCAATTATATTTGGAAAATAAAAATATCAATTTTTAGTTCAAATCAGATTTTTCTATTTAAATCAGATTTTTAAAAAATGCTTCTTGAGAAAAAAAATCACTCTAAAGATAGTTTTCTATTCATGGTACATTTATTCATAAAAGGAGGACTCATTTTTAATTACGTAGCATGGATGTTTATATTTTTTGGTACATGAATTCCATTCTCAATATCATGCTTTTCCAGAGGTTTCTGAAAGATCATTGGGCAGTTGTTCTGTCTAGAAGATACTATCACAGATTCTCAAAACTGAATTTTGTGTCTGCAGGTAAAAATGCCTTTTCTTCACAGCAAAAAATGCTATAAAATAAACATACAGTTGAGAAAAAGCTCTTCATTCCATTGTTCCTTTGCAAATCTGTGTGCACAGAATCAACTCCGTGAGTAAAAGCACAATCCAACGCTCATCTCGGACGTCTTTCATGGCTTTACACAACTGCAACATAAGTAGAAGAACACAGGGAGACAGAGTTTTTCTTCTCCTTTTTTCCCAGCATCGCACCTTCCGGATTTGCTGTTTCGACCAGCCTTGACTTCCGGAACAATGCGCGCGACTGCTGGCTCAAAGCAAGGGCGGATAGTTACCGGGATGCAAAATGCAGCTTTAATTCCGTGAAATGCAAATCCCGGGGCATATTTTGAGGCGACCCCCCCCCCTTCTTCCTTCTTAACTCCAGCCTTCCGGGGCCCAGAAGCTTCGCCCGGGCCAGGCGCGGAGCGGCGGAGGCCTGCCTGGAAGCTCGGCTGGCCCACGGTCCAGGCCCCTCCGCGACCCAGCGGGGCCGGTCCCGGCTCGGCTCGGCGCCCCGCGAGGTCCCTCGCGCAGACGCCTCCCCGCGAGCGCGAGCCGGGGGGGAGGGAGAGGCCCGGAAGCGCCGCCGCCGCGAGGCCGCCCCCTGCCGGCGCGGCGGCGAAGCTCCGGCGCGGCTCTTCCGGGAGCTGAGCGCCCGCCCTCCCGTGCGCATGCGCCTGCCTGCCTGCTTCCCGGTCGGGCCGCCGCCGCCGCTCCGCCCATGAGCGCCGCCGGAGGAGGAGGCGGGGGCGTCGCGGAGCCCGACCCCAGCCCCGCCGCCCCTGCGCCGCCGCCCCCCGCCGCCGCCGCCGCCGGAGACAGCGCCAAGAGCAGCCCGGGCGTGGCGCTGGCCGGCGCCGGGGCGGCGGGAGGAGCCGGTGAGCGGGGCCGGGGATCGGGGGGGCTGGGACGGGGATCGGGGCCGGGCCGGGGGGGCCGGGGCGAGGCGAGCCCCCGCCCGGCCTCATCCTCCCTCTTCCCGCGCAGGTCCTGCCTCGGCCTCGTCGTCGTCGGCTGCCCCCGCGGCCCCCGGAGCGGCTCCCGCGGGCGAGGCTCCCCCGTCGGCGTCGTCGACGTCGTCCGTGCCTAACGGGATCTTCGTGCCGCCCGGAGGGGCCGCCAACGGCGACGCCAAGCCCGCCGCCCTCGCCTCCCCGGCCGCGGCGGCCTCCAGCGCGCCGCTCGTCGACTTCCTCTTGCAGCTGGAGGACTACACGCCCACGGTGGGAGCCCGGGCGGGCAGGTGGGCGGGGGGCGCGAGCCCTGCGGCCTGGCCCCCTGACCGTGCCCTCTCTTGCAGATCCCGGACGCCGTCACCGGCTACTACCTGAACCGCGCTGGCTTCGAGGCTTCAGACCCGCGCATGTGAGTCGGCCCGGGCCTCGGTGCTTCCAGCCCGCCTGGGACCGATGGCGCCGTCCCTTCCAGGGAGCGCTTCCTGCGAGTCCGGCCTCGCCAAGCGCTCCCGGCGTCCCGGGGCAGCAGGGTGTGCGGGGCGGGTGCCCGAGTGGCCTAACAGCCCCCTTCTCCTGGCAGCATTCGCTTGATCTCGCTGGCGGCCCAGAAATTCGTCTCTGACATCGCCAACGACGCCTTGCAGCACTGCAAGATGAAGGGGACGGCCTCCGGCAGCTCCCGCAACAAGAGCAAGGTGAGGGGGCGCCCAGCGGTCCGGGCGGCCAGGGCCCTTCGCGTCCTGCCCATGCCAGGCAGGATCCCAGTAGCCCCGGCTAAGCGCGGCCCTCTCTTTGCAGGACAAGAAGTACACGCTGACCATGGAGGATCTGGCCCCTGCCCTTGCAGAGTATGGCATCAACGTCAAGAAGCCGCACTATTTCACGTGACACGGCTGCCACATGGCTCTCTGGGGCAAGGAGCCCCCCCCCCACCTGCAGTGCTCGCTGTGCTGCCATTAAAACCTTCATGTCTTGGGCATCTTGTCTCTTGGCCCCTTCATGCTCCCCATCGCGCGAGTGCGCAGGCAGTGCCGCTCCTGGGAGAGGATGGCAAAGGAGGCGGCTGTGGGGGGTCCCCGCGGTTCTTTTCACTGGGGGAGGGCGGCTCTGGGAGTGGGGGGGGGGTGCCCCCGCCCAACCCTGTGCTTCGGAGGCGCCTGCCGCTCTGGCCGGCCCCTGCGGAGAGGGCAGCCCCTCCCTTGCAGGAGCCGCGCTGCTCTCTGCTCTGCGGCGGCGAATTGAACAGCGTGGACGGGCAGGCTGCGGCTCGGGGCAGAGTCCCCTTGCTGTGGCAGCCTCGCTGGCTGCATCGCGGTAGAGCTGGAGGGAGCCAGGGGCCCTCTGGCCCAGTCCTGGCTCTGCGCAGGGCGCCCTGTCACACCACCGTCTCAGAGCTGTCCGGCTGCTGTGCGGGAGACCCCACCCCCCAGTCCTTGGTCCCATTGGCCTGGCACAGCTCCAGTGTCTAGTCCCAGGCAAGACTGGAGTGACAGGAAGACTTCCTTCCGCGTGGGAAGCGCTGCTTTCTGGCCCCAGAGGGGCCTGCCCGGTGGAGGAGCCCCTTCTGCGGGCGAAGGGCCCGGAGGGCTCCACTTGCATCGCAGCCATCTTGCGGGGCTGCCCCGAGCTTTGCGGGGCCTGAATGCCTGCTGTCTCTGGCTAGCGGGACTGGTGCTGAGGAAGAGGACTCTGGTTCTACCCTCCTGGGGCCACTGGGCTTTTCTCCTTTTCTACGGTGAAGAGTTTTACAGCTTGGCTTTCTCCACCGGGGCCTTTTGAGATGTGCTAGGAATCATCTCCCAGCAGTCCCAGTGCAGGGCAGCTGGCTGGCTGGGGGGATGATGGGCAGATAGTCGGCACAACTAGAGAGCGCTGGGCAGGGAGGGAGGCTGTTCTGGCTCGGGCAGGGCCGGGAAAGGGCTGGTCCAGAGAAGGCTGCGGGGAGCAGCTGCACAGCGCCAGCGGCACGGCCCACTGCGCATGGCCCCGCTCCAGCAGCAGCGAAAGCGGGTGGCCCCCAGCTGCTGTTGGTCCTGGCTAGGCTCACGGCAGGGAGATGAAGTCCGTTGGCACCTGCCAGGCCAAGCGGCGCGGGCTGCCCTTCTCTGCAGAGGAGAGGCATGACCGACGGCAGTGCCAGGGAGCGTCTAGCGGAGCCAGAGGTCCCCCAGCAGCCGCGCTCCAGGAAAACAACAGGCGGGACTTGAGAGCTGGCCTGTGCCTGCGCTGTGGCTTCAAGGGAGACCGCCTGGGCCGAGGGCCAGGAGGCCTCTGTGGTGACAGGCTGGGGCTGCGGCACCCTCCGCCTGGGCCCTGCGCACCGGCCCACGGAGAGCGGTCCCCAGTTGGCTGGCCACAGCCATGCCCACTGCTGCCGACGCGTGGCCCAAGGACGGGGCAGACTGGGCCGGCGTTTTCGCAGCGGGAGCAGATGAAACTGCGAGGGCCGACAGGCAAGCGCCCACTGCCCGTGCTCACCACGGCTGTGCTCTCAGCCGGCTTTGCATTGAGCAGCCAGCAAGCCACGTCCGGGTTTGGTGCTGCTGCCCCTTCTCAGCCAAGAAACAAGCCGCAGCCTCCTTTAGCAGTAACAACGGTTTTATTTGGAGCTCGGCAGCTTTGCCCAGGCTCTGCATAGACAAGATTAAAAACCACATTGCACGGGCACGCCGGAGCACAGGGTGGGCTTGATGCAGGCGAGCAGGTGGACGGAGAGCGGGGCAGCGGCAGTGGCTACGTGGGCTGTTGAAGCCGGCGAGGAGGGCGGTTGAGGCGGCTCGGCAACCTGCCCACCGGCCCCGGGCAAGGCGGGTCTCGATCTGTACCGTATTGGCTTCAGGCGAGGAAGGGGCACTTCCCGAAGGCACTTGGGGCGGGGTGGACTCTCCCCTCATTTCTCCTGCATCTTCTCCAGGATGGGGACGATCATGTCAAATTTGGGGCGCTTGGCGGGGTCCTCATTCATGCAGATCTTCATCAGCTTGCAGATGTGTGGCGAGATGCCTGGTGGGATGGTGGGCCGCAGCCCCTCCAGAGCAACCTGGGGAAAGGCGCAGCCTGCTGACGTGTGCCCCAGGGCCGGGGCACCCCAGGGGCTCAGGGCCCCCCTCCCCTTCCCACCCCACGCACCTTCATGCCAATCTCCATGTTGGAGAGATCAGCAAACGGCACCTCTCGTGTCACCAGTTCCCACAGCAGCACAGCGAAACTCCACATGTCCGCTGAGCGCCGGTTAATCTCCTCTGCCTTCTTCTGCAGGGCTGTCAGTGGGGAGAAGGCCAGTGGTGTGTGAGGCGGCAAGGGAAGGGGGAGGCCCCGCCATGCAGGGGAACAATCTAGGGTGAGTGGCATCCAGCTGGGGTTTCTTTAGGGGCAGGGGAGAAAAACGGCTGTGCCCAGGAGCCTGGGGAGGACGTGGGCTCAGCTGGAGGCCACGCCGTGGGGCCCAGGGAGCAACAAGCACCCGGCCCTCGTGATGCAGGTGGGCCGGGAGAGCTCACCCTCTGGTGCCACCCAGGCCGGAGCGTACATCCTGCCTGGACACTGGAAGGAGAACTTGACGTCAGCCATGCTGATCCGGGCTGTCATATCCTCGTCTATCTGTGGCACAAGGAGAGACGGGAACGCTGAGTGCCCTTCCCTCCGCACACTCCCCCAGCCGCTGGAGGGAGCCCGCCACTCACCATGATGCCGCGGCTGTTGAGGGCATGGCGTGGGATGAGGGGCTCTAGCGTGTGCAGGAAGGCCATGCCCCGGGCCACGTCCAGGGCGAACTTCACCGCCTGGGTCTGGTCCACCACGAAGTCTGGGGAGAAGGCAGGGCTGTGGAGGGGCAGGCACTGGCAGGGCGAGCCAGCAGCCCCACCACCACTCGGACCTGTGTGGTGGCTTGGGAATGCGGGAGCTGTGGACCATGCGGGATGCATCCAAGGTGTTGGGGCAGCGGCCGGGCTGCTGTGCGATCCCCGTCTCCGGCACCCCCTCCCCATGACGATGCTGATGCCCAGCCAGTTCAGCAGGTGCTGGAGGAAGCCCAGGAATGCGGTGCCATGCTCCGTCCTGAGCAGGCTGTCTGCGGGCACCGCTGTGTGTGGCAGCGCTGGCCGCAGAGCCCCAGGTCTGGGGGGTTGTGCTCGTCGATGGCAAGGGTAGGGCTATCCCAAGAAAGGAGCCCCTCTGCGGGACCCTCAGCCACATCCCCACGGGGGGGGGGGGGGGCATGACCCAAGAATTCTGCCTGGGTGTGGGGAAGAGCCACTGGCGGGACCGCCAGGCTGAGCCAGCAGGGACACTTACTGGTGCCTTCGTGGAGCACGTTGTACAGGGAGCCGTAGGGCATCCAGTGGGTGATGATGGTGGGGTGTGGGGCCGGCGGGGCCTGGCAGGCGCCCAGCACTGGCAGCACGTTGGGGTGGGAGAAGATCCTGCAGAGGGTGGAGGCAGCGGTGAGCGGCGGGTACCCACTCAGGCTTCCTCTGCCCCCTGAAACCTCCCACGGTCCCTCCACAGCCCTTCGGAAGAAGAGGGCGCGGCTCAGGCAACTGGGGAGGGCAGGGGCAGATTCGACCCATGGCAGGGCTTCCCACAGGAGGGGCTGTGGGACCCCACACTCCGCAGCATGCCCGTGGCGAGCTGATGCCAGCCAGTCCCGGCCCACCTATCCTGCACGCACCTGAGCTTGGGGTATTCCTCGTTGAAATCCCGGCTCTTCCTGGTGGTCCAGTCCCGGATCTTGAGCAGCTTGATCACGATGTCGTTCCCCTGCCAGCGGCCCTTCCAGAGCTGCAGGAAATTTGGGAATGAAGTAAGAGGGAAGGAGCCTCACGCCCCACTCCCTGGGGTTGGAAAGAAGAGGGAGGCGCTTGCCCTACCTCTCCAGACTGGTTCCCGTTGAGCTTGTGGCCCAGGCTCAGCTGCCGAAAGTCAATCCCCGCCAGTTTGTTTAAAGTGCCGTTACCTAGGAGAGAACGTCAAAGAGGGCCCTCTCTTCTCCGCACCACACGCCACCCCATCTCCCCTCCAGCCGGCTCCCATTCCTGTCTTTCTTTGGGGTCTCTTACGGGGTCGAGTGCGCGTTGTCCCTTTCCAGAAAGTGTCCTTGTAGGGGATGCGGGTCAGGTTTTGACCCAACTTCTCCGCTCGTTCTGGAGAAGAAGAAAAATATGGAACCTGGTTGGGCAAGGGCAACCGAGGAGCAGCACCCAAGTGCGCTGGCACCATCCTCTGGCGGGGGGAGGCCACGGTGAGCCCGCCTTCTTGCCCCGGACCCTCCCTGGCTGCCCCCAAGGCCAGCGAGGCAGCCCTTCGCAGCCCTGCCTCCCACCGCCGGCTGCAGAACTCACCCCTCAGAGAGTCCCGCAGGGGCGCCTTGGCCTTGTCCAGGGGCGTCTCCCCGTATTTGTTGCAGATGCTGACGAGGGCACCACTGGCCACCAGGTCCTAGAAGCAGAGGGCCCACCTCCTCAGCCTTCCCCAGGAACCGGATCGCCCATCCCCACCTCCCCAAGGGCTGCCCTGGGGTGCTCTTCCCACTGTCGGGGCTGCACGGTGTTTGCTTCAGTCTGCAAACCCTGGAAGCGCTTGCACAAAAAGCAGCGTCAACACACGCTCCCGTCAAATGAATTGGCGTGGACGGCGGCTGCGCCACGGCTGCCCACGGGGCCTCCCCCCACCCCGGGCGTTGGGGCAGCGCTCACCTCAGCGACCGGCTCCTGGGCCCAGAAGCAGGCGTAGTGGAGGGGCGTGTTGCCATGCTCGTTCACGGCGTTGATGTCGGCCTTGAACTGGAGGAGCTGCCGGGACCGGGAGGGGGGGGTCAGCTGGAGCCCCGCGGGGAGAACCCACCCTGGCCAGCCGCTCCTCCCAGGCGGGAGAAGCCTGGCACTGACCCCTGCCACCTGCAGTGCCCCACAGGGAGGCCCGTGGGGCAAGGGGCGGGCAGGGGCCCGGTGAAGGGAGCCCGCCGGGCCTCTCCTACCTTCTGGACGATGTCTCGATGACCGTGGCTGGCCGCCAAGTGCAAGGGGGTGTCATCCCCCCGGTTCATGACATTGATGCGTGCCCCTCGCATGACCAGCATGTCCACGACGCTGGAGCGCCCCTCGCGGCAGGCCCAGTGCAGGGGGCTGAAGCCATGGTCGTCGCTGCGGGAAAGCGGGGGGCCGGCTCAGGCAGGATGCCCCCTTCCGTGCCCACTTCTGGCTGCAGGCTGGGGGGGCACGCAGCCCCAGGGTGCTCCGGAGCCAGGATGCCCGCTTGCCCCGGCACGCTGGAGGCAGCTGCTGCCTGCAGGGTGGGTGGAAGGCCAGGGAGTCCACCCCCCCAGCACTGCCGCTGCCTTCCCCTTCCCTGCTCTTCCCGCTTTGCTGCCCGGAGAGGGAGGAGGGAGAGGGAGAATGAGGCCCGGCCTTAAAAGGAGATCTGAGCCAGGAAGCAGGGAGAACCTCAAGCCAGGCGCCTCCCACTCCTCCCCACCCGCTGCAAAGGCCCACTCGGCTCCGCTCGGCTCAGGGCAGCAGAGACTTCGATGGGGCAAGGGGGGCAAAACACACTGCGTCCCAAGGGTGCGGAGGGCCCCTGCTTCCCTCGCAGCTGAAGGACCCAGCCAGGCATCTGTGCTCTTGGCACACTGTCCAGCAAGCCGACTGATGGGGCACGAAGACTCCTCCCAGGGATCACACCTCAGTGCTGACCGGACCCCCGCGAGCCGCCAGCCCCACCTCCTGGCTCTGGCATATGACGTGAGCGGCAGCACCCTTGACAGGTGGGGGCCCAGCCCCTGCTGGATGTGACCGGGGAAGGACTGAGCGTGATCCCTGCTGGGCAGCACTCCTTGCAGGGAGCCCGGCTCGCCCATGCGGGCTCTGGGGAGCACACAAGCATGGCCGCTTCCTGCCCGCGCAGGGCCCATGGGCACCCCAGGAGCAAAAGCGCCCCGCCTCCGCTTCTCACACGACAGGGCTGGCTGCTTGTGGCCCTACAGAGGCCAACTGACTGCAATGCCCATCACCCCGGCTATGCAGACTGAGCCTGATGGGACCTGTAGTCTCACATCTTCCTCGTGGAGCTCCTATTTGCGCCAGCCACTGCAGGCAGCATCTCAACATGCTGGGAGGCGGAGTCCAGAGCGTCTCGAGAACACCAGGCTGGGGAAGGCCACTCCTGAGGACCCCCATGCGACCCGCTTTCCAAACCTCCTGCGCAGAGCTGGAATTGCTGATCCAGAGGCACCAAAGCGGAGCACTGCTCCGACCTCGCAAGCTCAGGCACGGCCCGCTTCTGTCCGCGCTGCCAAATGCAGCGCTCGCCTGTGCAGCTGCCCTGCATTGTGCCATAGGCGCCTCTGCCGCCCTTCAGGGCCGGGGATGGCAAGGGGCCCCAACTGGAGGGCAGTGTGACTGGGGCAGGAGGCGCCCAGCCCTGAGCCACGGAAGGGGCGAGCGAAGGCAGAGCCCTGCGGCCTGAGGGGCGGGGGGCTGTGGCAGCCCGGCAGGATGCCTGCAGGCCAGACCCCCGCTCAGCCGGGCACCGTGGGCAGCCCCCCAGCCGGCCTCAGCACGGGGGCCGTTTCCCGCGGAGGAGAGGGAGCCACTGCCGCCGCCCACTCACCCCTGGTTGAGGTCGTTCTCTGTGTTGTCCAGCCAAAGGCGCACGGCCACCGCGTTGCCCTCCCGGCACTGCGTGAAGATGTCATCCATCCTCTGCTCCTGAAAGCGGCCAGGCGGCGGTCGTCAGCCAGCCTGCCCGCCCTGGCCGGCTAGCGGGGGAAGAGGCGCAAGGGGAGCCGACGGGGCAGTCAGCCGGGGGGCCCACAGGAACCCCCCGCGGCCGCGCGCCCTATCGCTGCCGCAGCCTTCCTGCAGCCACTTCCCGGCGGAAGTCCGCACCGGCTCCAGCCCTGCGCGCACGGCATCCCCCGGCGGGCCGCGGTACAGGCTCTGCCCGGGAGCCCGTCCCAGGAGCGGCCCCGGCCCTGGCCAGCGTCCTCCCCTCCCCTCGGTGCACGGGAGCGCCGGAGCAAAGGCGCGGCCGCCGATTTCCCGGGCGGAAACCTCCGCTCCGGGCGCGACTCCGCCGCGCCCCCCCCCC